TCCTTTCCTGCTGATGTTCAGGTGTATATCAGTATGTAGTGTCTCTACTTTAAAGAGTCCTCTCCTGCTGATGTTCAGGTGTACGTAGTCCCTCTACTTTAAAGAGTCCTCTCCTGCTGATGTTCAGGTGTATATCAGTACGTAGTCCCTCTACTTTAAAGAGTCCTCTCCTGCTGATGTTCAGGTGTATATCAGTATGTAGTGTCTCTACTTTAAAGAGTCCTCTCCTGCTGATGTTCAGGTGTATATCAGTATGTAGTGTCTCTACTTTAAAGAGTCCTCTCCTGCTGATGTCCAGGTGTATATCAGTATGTAGTGTCTCTACTTTAAAGAGTCCTCTCCTGCTGATGTCCAGGTGTACAGTATATCAGTATGTAGTGTCTCTACTTTAAAGAGTCCTCTCCTGCTGATGTTCAGGTGTATATCAGTATGTAGTGTCTTTACTTTAAAGAGTCCTCTCCTGCTGATGTTCAGGTGTACGTAGTCCCTCTACTTTAAAGAGTCCTCTCCTGCTGATGTTCAGGTGTATATCAGTATGTAGTGTCTCTACTTTAAAGAGTGCTCTCCTGCTGATGTTCAGGTGTATATCAGTATGTAGTGTCTCTACTTTAAAGAGTCCTCTCCTGCTGATGTTCAGGTGTATATCAGTATGTAGTGTCTCTACTTTAAAGAGTCCTCTCCTGCTGATGTTCAGGTGTATATCAGTATGTAGTGTCTCTACTTTAAAGAGTCCTCTCCTGCTGATGTTCAGGTGTATATCAGTATGTAGTGTCTCTACTTTAAAGAGTCCTCTCCTGCTGATGTTCAGGTGTATATCAGTATGTAGTGTCTCTACTTTAAAGAGTCCTCTCCTGCTGATGTTCAGGTGTATATCAGTATGTAGTGTCTCTACTTTAAAGAGTCCTCTCCTGCTGATGTCCAGGTGTACGTAGTCCCTCTACTTTAAAGAGTCCTCTCCTGCTGATGTTCAGGTGTATATCAGTATGTAGTGTCTCTACTTTAAAGAGTCCTCTCCTGCTGATGTTCAGGTGTATATCAGTATGTAGTGTCTCTACTTTAAAGAGTCCTCTCCTGCTGATGTTCAGGTGTATATCAGTATGTAGTGTACTCTACTTTAAAGAGTCCTCTCCTGCTGATGTCCAGGTGTATATCAGTATGTAGTGTCTCTACTTTAAAGAGTCCTCTCCTGCTGATGTTCAGGTGTATATCAGTATGTAGTGTCTCTACTTTAAAGAGTCCTCTCCTGCTGATGTCCAGGTGTACAGTATATCAGTATGTAGTGTCTCTACTTTAAAGAGTCCTCTCCTGCTGATGTTCAGGTGTATATCAGTATGTAGTGTCTCTACTTTAAAGAGTCCTCTCCTGCTGATGTCCAGGTGTACAGTATATCAGTATGTAGTGTCTCTACTTTAAAGAGTCCTCTCCTGCTGATGTTCAGGTGTATATCAGTATGTAGTGTCTTTACTTTAAAGAGTCCTCTCCTGCTGATGTTCAGGTGTACGTAGTCCCTCTACTTTAAAGAGTCCTCTCCTGCTGATGTTCAGGTGTATATCAGTATGTAGTGTCTCTACTTTAAAGAGTCCTCTCCTGCTGATGTTCAGGTGTATATCAGTATGTAGTGTCTCTACTTTAAAGAGTCCTCTCCTGCTGATGTTCAGGTGTATATCAGTATGTAGTGTCTCTACTTTAAAGAGTCCTCTCCTGCTGATGTTCAGGTGTATATCAGTATGTAGTGTCTCTACTTTAAAGAGTCCTCTCCTGCTGATGTTCAGGTGTATATCAGTATGTAGTGTCGTTACTTTAAAGAGTCCTCTCCTGCTGATGTTCAGGTGTATATCAGTATGTAGTGTCTCTACTTTAAAGAGTCCTCTCCTGCTGATGTTCAGGTGTATATCAGTATGTAGTGTCTCTACTTTAAAGAGTCCTCTCCTGCTGATGTTCAGGTGTACGTAGTCCCTCTACTTTAAAGAGTCCTCTCCTGCTGATGTTCAGGTGTATATCAGTATGTAGTGTCTCTACTTTAAATAGTTCTCTCCTGCTGATGTTCAGGTGTACATCAGTATGTAGTGTCTCTACTTTAAAGAGTCCTCTCCTGCTGATGTTCAGGTGTATATCAGTATGTAGTGTCTCTACTTTAAAGAGTCCTCTCCTGCTGATGTTCAGGTGTATATCAGTATGTAGTGTCTCTACTTTAAAGAGTCCTCTCCTGCTGATGTTCAGGTGTATATCAGTATGTAGTGTCTCTACTTTAAAGAGTCCTCTCCTGCTGATGTTCAGGTGTATATCAGTATGTAGTGTCTCTACTTTAAAGAGTCCTCTCCTGCTGATGTTCAGGTGTATATCGGTATGTAGTGTCTTTACTTTAAAGAGTCCTCTCCTGCTGATGTTCAGGTGTATATCGGTATGTAGTGTCTTTACTTTAAAGAGTCCTACAATTAGATGGAAAACAGCTGCAAAGAGACAGAAAATTACAACAGACAATTAATCACCATAAAAAAATATTTTAGTAGAGAAATGTTTTCATTGAAGTTAATGTGTTGAAGGGAATCCTGTAAAAAAAAAGTTGTATTCAAAATGGCACTTTATCAAAATGCAATTGAGTGCAACTTCAACGTAACTGTATTTTTGGTTCCTATTAGATAAGATGTACTTTATTGATCCCAAATTGGGAAATGTTTGCGTTGCAGCAGCATAAAAAACAAGGCATTGCACATCATTAGAAATTAAGAGTAGAAATAAACATTTAAAAAATTTGAAACATATCAAAATAGAAATTAAAACGTAGAAAATATGCATTTGACGTGAAGATGAAACATATAGTACAGCGGATAAGCACAACAATTGTGCATTTTATGAGAAAAGCATGACATTTCTAACATAGTTAGTGCATACCATAAGGTTTATTTTCAGATGTGGAGGGAAGTCAGATTTGACCTGTGAGGACCGTGAGAGGTCAAATCCAAGATGGCCGCCAGTCTCTCGGGTCAAATGTTCAAACACGCTTAATTTTGGAACCAAACATTGTAGAAAAACATTTAAGGTGTCATATCCAACTAAATTAGGGATGCCCAATCATTTGATGATACTTTTGAGATCGCCAGAATTCAAGAAAATGCATTTAGGTGAAGATAAAGGTAGAAATTGACCAAAAATAAGCTGTCAATCAGTTGAAATTTGGTGTGTGTGTGTGTGGTCACCCAGCGCTAGCATTAATACAGAGACTGGAGGAATATGGCTTTACTTGGCACAGTCTGCATGCTGAAGCAAACATTTGTTTTTGTCTTCAAATACATACTTACATGATTGTGACGAGCATAATATTTGCTCCCCGCCCAACTCTCTAAGTGCTTGAACTCCGTGACAGGAGGATGAAGTATGTATAAATGGATGGAACTATCAACAAAACAACAGCGTTTTATTCCCCAATGTCATATTTAATAGAAAAATAATGATGCACCACTTATTGGAGAAAGAAGAATGGGGAACAGAAAGGTTTAGAGAGGGACAACATGCTGAAACCTTGCAACTTCAGTGCCAGAGAAAAAAGGTACTGCGAGTACACTTGTGGTTATTGTCCTCATGTTGCACATAGAAAATTCAATTAAGATGTTTACCGCATGTGGGCAAAAATCCATCAATCTTTCAATTTTCTAAAACTTGTTATATCCTTAGTCATTTAAAATGAGTTTTTTTCTCCATGCCATGGAGTCTAAATGGGTAAACCTTTGTATTTGTAATTGTACAGCCATGCTAGGACAAACAAATCCCCTTTGCCAATGTTCTCTCTGCCACACACACACAACATACATAACCCTTTCTTTGCATGACCTCTAAATGTCCATGTGAGCCACTAAAGAACAGAAAAAAAGCTGCGCTACCTTGGCTTTATAGGTGGACAGGCAGGGAATCGAACCCCAACCCTCTATAAGTGGAAAGGGACAGCGGTGAACCTTATAGTTGAGTGCAGCCCTTTGTTAACAGCGAGGGTTAAGAGAGCTGTTTGTGCTCTACATGGAACTGTTTTCCATCTCCCTCTTTGGTTTACATTATTATTATTATTTTTCTATTAAATATGACATTGGGGAATAAAACGCTGTTTTGTTGATAGTTCCATCCATTTATACATACTTCATCCTCCTGTCACGGAGTTCAAGCACTTAAACTTAGAGAGTTGGGCGGGGAACAAATATGATGCTCGTCACAATCATGTTAGTATGTATTTGAAGACAAAAACAAATGTTTTCATCAGCATGCAGACTGTGCCAAGTAAAGCCATATTCCTCCAGTCTCTGTAGTAATGCTAGCGCTGGGTGACTATAAATCCACTGGAATATACCACACACACACATTTCGCAAATTTCAACTGATTGACAGCTAATATTTGGTCAATTTCTACCTTTATCTTCACCTAAATGCATTTTCTTGAAGTCTGGCGATCTCGAAAGTATCATCAAATGATTGGGCATCCCTAATTTAGTTGGATCCACACACACACACACACACACACCAAATTTCAACTGATTGACAGCTTATTTTTGGTCAATTTCTACCTTTATCTTCAACTAAATTCATTTTCTTGAATTCTGGCGATCTCAAAAGTATCACCAAATGATTGGGCATCCCTAATTTAGTTGGATATGACACCTTAAATGTTTTTCTACAATGTTTGGTTCCAAAATTAAGCGTGTTTGAACATTTGACCCGAGAGACTGGTGGCCATCTTGGATTTGACCTCTCACGGTCCTCACGGGTCAAATCTGACTTCCCTCCACATCTGAAAATAAACCTTATGGTATGCTCTAACTATGTTAGAAATGTCATGCTTTTCTCATAAAATGCACAATTGTTATAATATGAGAGCTTATCCGCTGTACTATTATCCAAATATACGTGAGAAGCTTTGGATGTAAAATCAGTTTTGTTGTTAAAATAAGAAATGTTGTCAAACCTGTATATAATGTACGTATTGATGATTGATTGATTGATTTGTGTCCTTACAGGGAGGCTAACACTATATTCCGTGGCAACTCACTGGCAACACGCTGCATCGACGACATGATGAAGATTGTGGGAAAGAATTACCTGGCTGTTACCCTGAAGCCTGTAATAGATGAGGTATGACGAGCACACACACACACACACACACACGCTCACACACACACACAACACACACACACACACACACACACACACACACACACACACACACACGCTCACACACACACACACGCACACACACACACACACGCGCTCACACACACACATGCTCACACACGTTCACACACACACGCGCTCACACACACACGCTCACACACACGCTCACACACGCACACACACACACACGCGCTCACACACACACGCTCGCTCACGCACACGCTCACACACGCTCACACACACACACGCGCTCACACACACACGCTCACACACACACACGCGCTCACACACACGCGCTCACACACACGCTCACACACACATGCTCGCACACACATGCTCACACACACTCACTCACACACACTCACACACACTTACACACACACACTCACTCACACACTCTCACTCACACGCACGCACGCACGCACACACGCACTACAACACTGGTCTACCTGCATCTTCAAAATGTACTATATTTTATTCTTTGTCGTCATTTTTTGTCTTCTATCTCTGACTTAACATTGCTTCATGTTAAAGGGCATATGAAATGCTATTTTTAGTTTAGAGACGTTTGAAAAATGTCTTGATCCCCTGTTAATGTCCTTTTAATTTCAAGAAACTAGGAAAACATTTGCATTTACACAGAGCACAGAAATCTCAATCAGTCATTTCTCATTTCTCAGGCCTGACTGTTGTTGTTTTGTCTTCTATAGATCTGTGAATCCAACAAAACATGTGAGATAGACCCGGTTAAACTAAAGGAAGGTGACAACGTGGTGGTGAACAAGGTAAACACCTGACTCTTATGGCACATTTCCACTGCAGCGCGTAGCACGGTTTAAGCGTGCCGTGCCGTGCCCGGCCCGTTTTTGGTTGCGTTTCCACTAGGGGTAGTTCCGGCTAACGGGTACTTTTTCACAGTTTGTCTGGCTCTCCAAAATCCAGGTTCTTTCCGGGCCAACAACCAGGCTGAGTATGCTAAACTAGTGAGAGAATCGCTGGCAACTACAACAAAATGAACATATTTGACCGTGATTTAATTGTAATACACGTTTCAAAATGATGCCGAAGTAACAACATACTGATACCGGTTAGTGAAAACCATGAATTAATGCTTTGTCAAGTCTGCAGACAGACGGCAGGCGAAAAACCTTTTAAAATGCGTGTTTTCTAAATGGAGATTGGCTAAGCTAACGCAGTATATGCTCCGACCGTCCACACTCACAACAACGGCCTATACAGACATAAATAAAGCAGCGACTGTATTCACCATGACACAGGCAGTCTGTGGTGTGTACTTGTTTAACTTTTGTCTAGTTTCTGAACAGATATGAGGAGCTGTGAGCTCTGAGGGCTAACAGCTAACGGCTGTGCAGTGTGCGAAAAAGCACACGTCCCACCGTCCGGGATGTGTTATTTACAATGTCGGACAAGTAGATCTTTCAATTGACTTGTCCGGCGGACAAGTGACGTTTTTAGCCCTCATTTATTGACAAATTATTGATAAATTCAGTTCTCAAAAGGCAGAACTCATTCGCAAATTGTCCGTGTCCGCCATTGTTCGTTTAGAAATGTTAGTTTCGGTTCTGCTTGTCGATTCCTAAGGAAATGCATCTCGCCGCTTTCTGTACTGTTAGACGGGGGCGGGGCGGTGCGAGACGTGTAGCACAGTGGCAGGGTTGGGAAGCAAAACTCGGTTCCGAGTAGGAACAAATAACAATTGTCCGGTACCGGGATTAATAAGAGTTGTGAGGACAGGAGGCGAGGCCGAGCCCCGCGGACCGCAGCTCTCTCTCTGCTCCGGATCATCTGATCGCTGCACGGTGCAGTTCAGCGTCTCTCTCTCTCCCTCTCTCTTTCTACACACAGCGGACCCGCTGCCCGTTTAACAGCCTAATCTTTGTCAAACTTTCTTATGTTCTTTCTTTAACACGTAATGAAGGTTATTAAGCGTTTTAGCTCCTACGTTGTTAATATTGACGCCATTTCCTTTATGAAGTAAAGCAGCCTCCCTGTCTGTGTCCTCGCGCGTCCTCACATCCCCCGACCCCTAGACTCGGAGGAGCACAGGGATGTCAGTATTGTTTATGAAGCAGGGTATAGAAAATACATTATTGAAATGAAAATAGTATTTATTTATTTTTGCAAACAGTGAGCAGCTGCAGCATGTGTATTGCAGGACATGTGTAAGCATGCAAGCGTCTTTGAGTTGTAGAAAAGCGCTAGGCCTATAGGCTATAAATATAATGTATTATTATTATTATTAGGCCTATGTGTTGGACATGTGTGGTTGGACTCTGTCTCACAGGCAGGTTGCAGTGTAACATCAGAGGAGACTGGGCCAATTGTACATTCTCAAACTGCACCACTTAGAACTAACTAAACAATGCAGAGATTATTTTTATATAATTGTATTCAATAACCGTAAGAAATTAAACAGTATGAAGTGATTTCTAAATAGGAATACAGATTTGACTTAATGTTTTCATAAATATGTTTTTCTCCCAGTTTGTCATGGGACTTATTTTTACCCTCTCAAAGAACCGGAATCGAGAACCGAAAATAACCGGAATCGAAAAGCAGAACCGGAATCGTTAAAATCCAAACTATACCCAACCCTACATGTGTGATGCAGTAAAATCTTACCGCTCACTTACGTTAGCGGTGTCGTAAAAAACGTGGGAAAATGTAAAATACGTTGGCGAAGAAGAAGATTCCAGTGGTCCCAATTTTTGTCCATTCTGGACAAGTGAAAAATGTAAATTGCCAAACTCACTTGTCCATGGACAAGTACTCTCTAAAAACCTTTTCTCACACTGCTGTGTTGGTTTTGTGTTTCGCATTGAAAATGACATCACGGCTCCGCCTACACTGCGTTACTATAGTTACTGCCCCAGCTACTAAACTGTAATGGAAACGCAGCATAAAGTGAGCCTGGCCTACCAAGGCCTAACTATACCGTACTAAGCCGTACGAGGCCCTGCAGTGGAAACGCGCCATTACAGACCTCTACACAGACACAAAATACAACTTATTTAATCAAGTTGATCAATCCTATAATAAGACTATCTATCTGAATGCCTGCGTAATTTGTCTTCCACATTTGACTGTAGGCCTTTTTCCTTTTTAGATAGGAGTTTTCCTCTCTTTTTTATGATGGTTTGAATGAAAGCAGCACTAATGTTTTTGTTTATTGTGCAGGAGAACCTTCAGGGTTACGTGCAGAAGGTTTTCTCCTCCATCACCCAGTCCAGCTCCAGCTGCCCCCCCCTGATGTGTGACGTCTTCAGGTCCCTGAGGAACCTGGCCTGCAAACGCTTTTCAGGTAAGGCCTGTAGTAGGGCTGCCAGATTTGGTAAAGATAATCGCAATTATTTTGATTCAATTGCAATATGATTCAGAATATTAAAATGAATGATAATTTTTGCACCATTATTGTTATTGTTATTGACTGGACCAAATAATTTATGCAATTTGTTCAATTATAAGTTATATTTATGTGTTTACTGATTGTTGTATCTTTTTAATGGTGATGTTCCCTTATTGTTTTTCGTGACGTGTTTATAAAACTTTCAAAATGATTGAGTGAGTTTTTGCTGTAAAGCCAGAGGCCTGTACTACGAAGCCGGATTTTCGCTTAGCGAGCTAACTTCAGGGTAAACTCTGAGTTTCCGGTCCTACGACGCTGGTTCTCTTTTTAGCGGGCTAGATCTCCATGGTAACTTATGCTGAACGGCTAGCCTGCTCCGGAGCAGGTTAGGTTCCAGGCTAAGAGATCAACTCAGTGAAAGCACCGCCTGCTGACCAATCAGAGCTCCGTGTGCGGAGTTTAAAGCGATCAAGTCATATTACAGGATAGAGGAAATACAGAAAAACTGCCGTTGCAGGAAAGACGGCCGGCAAAAATCACAGACTGTGTGAACGTGAAAATTAATAGAATATCCCCTCCCATCTTCAGAGCAATCTGACTATTATAACATTAGCGTTAAGAAAGCTTACTTAAATATCTGCCACGACATAAGTAACCGGATCAGAGTAACATTACGTACAGTCCGCGGCACTGTGAGTGCAGACGTCGATGTGTCCCATTATCATTCATATCATATCACATCATAATGTATCATATATTTCCTTATCTGAGTCAGCTTCTTGAGCCGTATCTGGCCGTGCAACACTCACAGTGTCACATACTGTATGCAGAAGTATTATTTTAAGCAACACATTAAGTTGACGAAACACTCGAGTCAAATTCTCCTAATTAAAGTCAGATCCACTCGTGTCTTGGACGGGGCAGTGATTTCATAAACCTGTTAATGTACGCATTCAAACACTTTTTCTTTTACCAGCTGTATTCACCTTGCAGGTGCAGCTATACGTGGCTTTTATCCTGGATAAAGTGTTTAAGTCATGGATGTTTAAAGTTTAACTTATTCATATTTGACTAATATTAAAGTTCACTTTTCATTCAGGAAGTAAGACGCTGCGCTGTCAGTACGCTTCTCCATGTTTGTGATTGGTCAAATGTTGCTAGCCCCGCCCCTTTCATGTGAACACGCACTCAGCCGGACAGAGAAACCCTGGCTTGAGTTACCGAGTTGATAACCAGCGTCGTAGGACCGCTTAGCGAGAGCGCGTTTGTTTTGGGTTAGTTAAGCCGGGTAACTCAAACATATCCAGGGTATGTTGAACTGGATTCGTTTTTGACGTGTTGTTTGGGGGTCCTTGTGATAAATGTGGTTTTATTGCTCAATTTGACTTAAATTTCGCCTGATAAATGAAATGTTTCATTGTTTCTCCCTGCAGCTGACCCACATGTCCAGTACTCGGCCGTCAGCAGCTTTGTGTTCTTGCGGTTCTTCGCCGTCGCTGTTCTTTCTCCGCACTCCTTCCAGCTCCGCTCCCACCACCCTGTGAGTGCACTGTCCCAACACCTTTAATAGATATACTGGAAGACTAGTTGTGATTTTACATTTCTCTTTTCATTCCAGGACCCTGAGATCTCCCGCACGCTCACCCTCATCTCAAAAACAATCCAGACGCTGGGCAGCTGGGGGAGTCTGTCGAAAAAAATGGTAAGAGTAAAAATAAATATGATGGCAAAGTGAGAGGAAGGGTAGCACGATGCTTCATTCACTCTGTAGGGTTAGCGTTTTTCTGATTTGCTTTGTAACTCCTTGTGTTAAAAGGAATTGAGCCAATGTCTGAACCATACTTTTAGCAGTCTTGAATGTCTGATTCGTTTAAGCAAACAGAACTAAACAGATATTTGTAACTAAAGCTGCCTTCACATGACAAGTGGTAAAACGGCTCTGTGCAGATTGTGTGTTTCTGTGGAGAAATCGGTGCCGTCCGACTAGGGCTGTGCGATTATGGCAAAAATCATAATCACGATTATTTGGGTCAATAATTGATATCACGATTATTAAATACGATTATTCATTGACTTTGAAAACATCCATTTATTGAACTTTAAAACAAATACAAATAATAATTTGAACAGTATCTTTTTAACTGTTGATTACCCTGAACGTATAATTCAACTGAAAAACCAATACAAAAATAAATGAAATTATACATTTATATTTACATTTAAATAAATAATATCAAAAATAATAAATACCAATAAACAAGATCAACAAATATTTTGGAGCGCACTTCAACAAGCTACTAAACATATATAAATATGATAAATACAAATAAATTAGACTAAAATAAATTAGATCAAGTGCACTGTCACAACCAAGCAACGCAAAATAATCGTTTTTTACGATTATGTTGTTTTCGTAATTGTGGCAGGCCAAAATCGTAATTGCGATTTAAAATACGATTAATTGCACAGCCCTACGTCCGACCATGCAGAAGCGCTACCTCTTTGGACTGCTTCACGAAGAAAAACACATTTCCACTTTGGTTGTTTTGGCCAACATGCAAACAAACTAGGTTTAGAAAGATGTTGTTACTCCTAGACAGTTGTGATACCCCTTGAAACGGTTGTGACAATTTACTTTAAGTTTAGAGAATATCACGACTTTTTAAAAAGAGCCCAAAATAAATTAGGTAAAACTGTAATAACGACATTTGTAAGAGTGATTTGTTTGCAGTCTATGTTTTAGAGGAACAGTCAATAGTGTAAAATATAGTCACTCAATGTTTTTTCCAACTTTTTGAAATGCAATATCGTAAATTCTCTGTTTTTATTTTGTATTTCTTTCTGTCTCTTTGTAGTCTAGCTTCAAAGAAACCTACATGTACGACTTCTTCAAATCATTCCAAGAAGACAAGTGTATCGAAAAAGTAAAAAAGGTACATTTACCTAAAGCTCTGTAGAATTGTTCTCCTTTTATTTTTCATTTTAAATGATTAACACTGAAATGATTCTGTTGTCCAGTTCCTTGATGAGATCTCCACTAACGTCAGCAAAGAGTCCAGTGTGCTGGAGGACGCTGTGGTGCTGAAGGAGGGGTGAGTGTTCGATATGAGCCTGATCAACAGGAAGTGAGGCGAAGTGAGGCGAAGTGAAGTGAAGTGAAGTGAAGTGAAGTGAAGTGAAGTGAAGTGAAGCGAAGCGAAGCGAAGTGAAGCTAGGTGAAGCGAAGTGAAGCTAGGTGAAGCTAAGGCCCAATCCCAAACCACGCCCTACACACTCCCCCTCCGTGACGTAGTGAACTCCGTGGAGTGACACTCGCAGCTCAACGAGGCTCCCTCCTGTCAGATGGAGGGAGTAAATACAGCGGCAAGCTTTGGGACAAACTCCCCTCTCTCCGGTAGAAAACAGGAAATGCCGTAACTGTATGTAACAACGGTTTCAAATCAGCATCTCTTGGAAAAAAAATGTAAATTAATAACTAAAATAAAACTCCAAACATCTTTAATTGTGTTACTTTTTTGTAAAGCTCTTTTAGTTTTAAACCTGATGTTTATAAGCTTCTTAGTTTTTGCAACAGTCTGTAAATATACACAACTTTATAATAAAATGCACACATTTATATTTTTCTAGACTGAACACAGGTATACGATCCTAAGTTAAAAAAATATGAGGTTATCATGAGGTTGTTAACATCGCAGTTTATCAGTGGATGTTTGCTGGAACTGTTTGTAAACAGCTTGTTTCCTGACGGACACACACAGCGTGACTCCGGTCAGGTAGAGACCGGTCTCCAGTCAGCACCGCTGCAGACTCGCTGTTTGAGGGCTTGATAACCCACTCCCCCTCCACACTCGTTGGTTTGGAACAGCACTTAATGTGGCGGACCCTCCGTGCGAGCGTAGGGCGTAGGGTGTAGGGTGTAGGGTGTAGGGTGTAGGGTGTAGGGCGTAGGGCGTAGGGCGTAGGGTGTAGGGGTGTAGGGGTTGAGGGTTGTAGGGGTGTAGGCCTAAGTGAAGCTAAGTGAATATAGTGGCTGCTGCTTCCGTCCTAGAAAGACAAGGTAAACTTAACTAATGTGCATTTAAAAAAAAGAGCAATAGTTTCGGCAAAAACTAAAAGGTACCTTGGGGTCAGATTAGAATTTTCCAAAGGGGGGTTCGTTTAGCATGAAGCACTTGAAAATAACTAAAGGATAAGTTAAAAAAGAAAGTAGAAAGTGAGGTGATGGGAAAACTATTCCTGCTAAAAAGTGAGCAATGATTGAGTCAGAGCTAAACATTTCAGATGTGTGTATCTCGCACTGCACTGTGACTTTAATTCATGTTCCTTTGTTATTCATGTTATCTTTGCTTTTAAATGAGTGTTTTTAAATGCCATTTTATAATATGTTTCTTAATATCTTTCATTTTTGTAATAAACTTGCCTTGCCTTTAAGAATTAGAATTCCTTTATTAGTCCCACAGCGGGAATATTTGCAGTAAAAGTGGTATAGCAGGTAAAAATAAGGCATGACATAATATATAAACAACATTTAAGTGGCCTGTTGTATTATCTTTTTGCAGCTGGACAAAGAAAATGTAATTCTTTTATTTGTTTTTCATCGTCTTAAACTCCTTTTTAATCTTGTGTGTGTCCTTGTAGGGAAGTACAGAAGCGAGCCCAGGGCAGGAAACGACTTGGAAAGAAAAACTTTAAGAAGCGATGGCTCAGACTGACCAATAGGGAGCTCTCCTACCACAAACATAAAGGTGAGATCCAGTTTTATAATTGTGGAGGAAACTTCTGTGTAGTAATGCATGGAGTCACCGACTCAGGAAGGAGACACGGTGAGAGTTGGAGCTTTGATGTCAAACACTGATGGGTTTATTCAGAGTATTCTGCCGGAGGATTCACATCACAAATCAAAGAGTCAGAGGTTCTGACCACACGGTAGAGTTGCCACGTCAATTCTGAAGAGCCTCTCTCTATGCTAGACCTTTTAACTGGTTCACAGAGAGTAATCAACATCTCTGAAGGAGTAGACTAAACAGCTGGGAACACTGAACCACCTGCGTCCGACACTCATGGCCTCGAAGATTTCACATCCTAGAGCCCACAAACACCGATAAAGAAGTGCCTCAGTGTTCCCACAACAATTACCCTTCGTGCCAGTCAAGTTGACCGGTCTCACACTGGTGACAACAACACATATGGCACCAAGGCCTTTCCTTAAAGGAGATAACACGTCACAGAGCAAAAGGTTAGATATCTAGAAGAATTATTCCTTAACAATAATGACAACTTGTTGCATAATATAAAATCAAACCAACAGGAGAAAGCTGCATGCAGTACTTTCTGTCATGGTGTCATTCTTAATGCTACCACCAGGGGGCGCCAAAGTAATACAAGTAAAACGTTCAAATCCTGTCACCGGTATGGACGCGCTCGTGAACTGTCAAGGGGGGGAGGGGGGTTAACTGTGGACCTCTGTGGCCTGTCAGCGCAACTTATATGATGCCGTTTCAAAAATATAATAATAAAGGGCGGTGCCGGCCGTCAGCGAACCGAGCCGGCCTTTCTGCGCGACTGTCACTCAAATGCGGGACATAGTCTCAATTTGTTGGATGCGGGACAAATGATAAATATGCTATGTGTTTAGTCCCGTACAAAGAGGGACACTTGGTCACCCTACACACACGGTGCTGCCCCTCACACACACACGCTTCAAATCAAGTTGCATAAATACTTGAGCTACGTTTTTATTATAATTACTGTGAAATGTATTATGTTTTCGTCATTATTACATCAAATACACACTTGCAACTGATAACTGACTATTAAAAAAAATAAAAAAAAAACATGCTTCAAAAAGGTGGGAGCTCCAAATAAGTGGGGGGATGGCGATCCCCCGCGTCCAACGACCACTACACCACTGTATATAATAAATGGAAAGGCAGCATATGTAGAAAGGAATATGTACACGGAGGCGTGTGGGGCAGTGGGTTGTGCGTTGGTGTTCAGATCAGGGGGTCACAGGTTCAAACCCCACTGCAGTCAGCATGTCGTTGTGTCCCAGGGCAAGACACTTCACCCCAAATTGCTCCTGTGGGGATTGTAAAAAAGCGTCTAACATGTAATGTAATGTATAAATGGAGATCTCAAGCTGATTATGTAAATAAGGGGTGTCAAAACTTTTTTACAATGAGGAAATAAGGATCAAACAATCATAAAATCATGTTTCTAGACCTGAAAAACCCCCATAATATATGCATCTAACGTTATTTTTCTAAATAACTTGCAACTCAAAGTGCAACGTTTGACATTACAGTGGTTTAGTGGTTAGCCCACATATTACAACATTTGCTGTTTTTATATTACATGTATTTCTAATGCACATCATTGCTCTCTGGAGCTTTTTGGATATGGGTTTTCACAGAGACTCGAAGACACCCTGCAGTGTGAACAGTTATAACTCAAAAAATGTTTTAGAAAATGTATATGATCCATATCATACGGTTTAGATCAGCAGGAAGCTTTCCGATCGCACCATTCCTGCAGCGAACTGGACTATGGGGACATTTTACAGCGTTAAATGCACTTTTTTTTAAATGTTGTGGTTACTAACCTGCCATTTAGTCTGTGAGAACTCATCCAACGTTATATTGTGGACCTTGCAAATGTTGATTTGAACAGAATCAAATAGCTTTTACTACTCTGGATGGATAGAAATTACCCAAAACATATATATATATTTAAAGCACTGTGGTTGTAAAAATACACCTACGCCTTCTTATATTTTAGAGCTCTTACAACTACACTGTACACCACACATGGGTTGTTCTTACCTCTGACTGTCACTTTGTATTATTCTAGTTTCATTTTTTACATGTTTGCTTTTTTAGGGAAAGAAGCCCTCTGCATCATCAATGTGAAAAACATCCAGGCTGTGGAGAAACTGGATGAAAGTGCCTTTAACCGCAAAAATGTAAGCCGATCCCCCCCCCCCCACCCCCCGAGACACCCACCCATTCATCACTTTCAAACTATGGCCCCTTTTTAATGAACACTCTCACAGATGGAGGTATTTTCACTCCTTATTACCTGGAAAGTCGTGTTGGAGAAGTACGGAAATGCAAACAAATCTGAGCTAAAATCTCCTTCAATGTGTCAAAGTGAAGCGTTATGAATCACAGGAAGTAAAACTCGTTGTTTCATAAATGTATTTCTGCTGTCACGGTCCGCTCTGATAGTCTTTATTGGGTTTTCAACCATTGATTATTTTCATTATTGATTAATAACACAAAGGGAAACTATTACTTACTTCACAATCAGCTGCAAAACTATTATTTATTATGAATGTATCATTTGATGCTCAGAATACATATTCATGTTTTCACGTCAAATATACGTAAATCACCACAAAGGAACGTAAATAAATTAATAATATAAATCAAATATGTAAAACAGTAATTTATTAGAACAATGTGAATTTGTACTTCTTATGCTTGCATACATATTTTATTTAGTTTTATCCTATATTGGACACTTCTCTTTACCTTGTTATCTGTGATAGGACATTTCGTTCTTATGGTTATTTTAACGTATTTAAACATTTTTATTCTATTAATTGTGTAAATATTGTACTTATCTTTTATTTATTTACTTATCATATGGAGCGGTTGACCAATCACAACAGAGCCGGCCAGCTGACCAATCAGAGCAGCGCTGGTTTCAGACAGAGGGTGAAAAGAGGTGCTGCAGCACAGGCAGTATGAGATAAATAAAGAGCTTTTTGAACATTAAAGCATGGAGACATGTCCCAGCAGAGACACTACAGTACATACTGATATACACCTGAACATCAGCAGGAGAGGACTCTTTAAAGTAGAGACACTACATACTGATATACACCTGAACATCAGCAGGAGAGGACTCTTTAAAGTAGAGACACTACATACTGATATACACCTGAACATCAGCAGGAGAGGACTCTTTAAAGTAGAGACACTACATACTGATATACACCTGAACATCAGCAGGAGAGGACTCTTTAAAGTAGAGACATTACATACTGATATACACCTGAACATCAGCAGGAGAGGACTCTTTAAAGTAGAGACACTACATACTGATATACACCTGAACATCAGCAGGAGAGGACTCTTTAAAGTAGAGACACTACATACTGCTATACACCTGGACATCAGCAGGAGAGGACTCTTTAAAGTAGAGACACTAAATACTGATATGAACCTGAAAATAGGCAGAATATGTCCTCTTAAATACATTATCAAAATAGTTATTTCTCTGTCGATTTGAGTTGTCGAGCAGCTCTATTATATTTACATAAAACTGTAGATAGTTCCAAAAGTAAAAGTAGTGATTATGCAGATTGGTCCATTTCAGAATAATATATATGATATGTTTTATAATGATTGATTGATCATTAAAGTGTTCTCAAAGCTGGTAAAGGAGCAGCTAGTTTGAATGACTTTGTATACTGCAGGGTAGCTTGTGAATTCACTCCACTTGATTATATTTCTATAAGTTATCGTAGCAGCTCTACTCTTTTTACATTAAACTGTAGCGGTATGAAAACATTCACACCCTGTTGACCTGACTGTGGTTTGTGTGGTGTCAGATGTTCCAGGTGGTGCACTGTGAGAAGCTGCTGTACGTGCAGGCGGGGAACTGCGTGGAGGCCGGCGAGTGGCTGGAGGTGCTCGGCCCGGTCAGTCGCTGCAACGAGGGCCGCTTCTCCTCCTTCCACCCCACAAACTACAGCGCGGGATTGTGGCAGTGCTGCAGGAGCCCGAGCAGCAGCGCCCCCGGCTGCAAGCCCTGCACCACGTGAGTCACCTGCACCTGCACTGATATGTTACCTATCTCTTTATAACACTAAGACTTAATAGCTGCCAAAATGAACACGGGGTAAAAATCAGAGATGTGAAGAAAACACTCATATCGGGTAGAAAGGGTTAATTAATGATACGATAATACTTTAATGGTCAGATCATGTCTGAAATTTGCCTTGCAGCTCAATGTGTAACATTAACATAGACACATATCAGGACACAGTACATGAAAAACAAACGACAAACATTTAATCACAATCACTAAGAGAAAACATTTTCAATGACCCTTTAGCGTGAGTCACCGGCACCTGCACGGAGATATATTATCGTCAAAGTATCTCATATATTTTTTAATAATACTAAGACTTAATAGCTGCCCAAATGAACTCCGGGTCAATTTCAGAGATGTAAAGAAAACACTCATATCAGGTAGAAAGAGTTGATTAACAACGTGAGTCACCGGCACCTGCACGGGGATATGTTATCTTTAAACTATCTCATATTTTCTTACCAAGACACAATCCAAAATAGCTGCCAAATGAACACTTGACCAAGATCAGACAGGTAGGAGAAAACACTCATATCGGGTAGAAAGAGTTCATTTGACAGATAAGGATCAACATTAACGCAAACCAACTCAACACTCTTAATAAAGACACTTTATGTTAGTGTGAAATTCTTCTTGCTTCTTTTTAAAAAGCTGATTTAGTTTATCTACAGGTGTTTGACTGCACTTGCTATTCATTTTAATCTTAATTCAGGAGAGAAAAGCCATATTTCTCCTGGATATGTGTTAAAGGGGACCTATCATGCAAAATGCACTTATTGATGTCTTTGATACATAACTATGTGTCCCCGGTGTGTCGGGGAACTCACGCAGCGTCAGGAAATAAAACCCTCTCTCTTTTCCTCCGTACCCAAATCTCTAAAAACGGGGCTACAACGGAGCTGATCCAGATTTGCGTCCGATATGACGTAATATCTGAAATGTGGACCCACGGCCCTATCAGAAACGTTGCTCTCAGAAACAATGCCCGACTGTTTTGGACGTAATATGGTCGGTGTTTACATTAGCATCGCTAACACTCAGAGCTAACCTGTACTGGAGAGCATGTGTGTGAAGAAGCAGGAAATAAAAAGGAACTCACCTTGTGGTATAACCGGCAAGAGAGAAAGCCTTTGAGCTCCATACTGTTTCAGAAACAATCCTTGATAATCCATGATATGGCGTTTCATCACGGCAGTATTTAGTTTAGACAGTAGCTGCCGGGTCCCGCATGAGCTCAGCCCCCAACTTTTTTAAAGCTTTATACCCAAAATCCGCACTTTTGAAACAGGAAGTGAAACAGAGGGATATGAGGCATGGCTAGAATGGGTGATCTGTTTGGTATTTTGAGCAAAACACTTCATAGACATGTTTTTTTTATATATTTTTATATATCTGAGACCTATGCTATTGCCTAAAAATAGCGTGATAGGTGACCTTTAAGTCAGTGTGACATTGAACAATAGATTGTTCAATGTTTAGTTTTTGGGGTATTTTTTCGTACATTTTCTTAATTATTTAGCTCATAAAAGCACAAGCAGGGCTCAACTGGATTTCTGTTTTTATCTCAACAAATTCAAATATTGAATATCTCAGATTATGGTAGAGAAATACAAAATAAAAAGGAATTCCAGGATGGCTGGATAGCAATGTCACCCCCTTTATCTCCTCGTTTCAAAACTGTAGCTCAAATAAAAGGTACTCTCTGACCCCAAAAATGCCAAAATAAATGATTTATCCTTAGGCTCTCTTACTTTCCACGGCAAACTTTTATAATTTAGGGTTTATCTATCAATGTCTTCTCTCCCCACATGTGCTTTCAGGTGGTCTCAGTGACCCCCTCTGTGTGTGAGATCCTCTTACACTTGTTGCTCTCTCCTCTCTCAGCACCGTGCTGGCCAACCTGCAGCTGGACATCGACTGTGACCGTGAGACGGAGAGGATCTTCTCCCTGCTCTCCGCAAACGATGCCAAGCTGCAGAACATGGAGGGTCAGTGTGTGTTCTGTTCAGGAAATATTCTCTGTTTGTTAGTATAAGTGTGAGTGATGGCAGGATTTGAGGATTGCACTCCACATAAAGCTGCGCCCGAAACACCTTGTGGATTCCTGGAGCGTTACGTCTTTGTCAGAGTTCCTGACCTTTTAGTGATTTATGGTTGCACGTGCAAAAGCAGTCAGGGCAAAGTGCTCTGCAAAAAAAACATGAAAAGCATCAAATAAATAAAAGTAGGGGTGAAAATGGTCAAATATGCAGCAATGATGATATTAATCATGCTATATGGTGCTATAATGACGCTATATGATGCTATAAAGATGCTATATGGTACTATTATGAGGCTATACTGACGCTATATGATGCTATATGGTGCTATAAAGATGCTATAATGATGCTATAATGATGCTATAATGATGCTATAATGCTGCTATAATGCTGCTATAATGCTTGGTTCTCTCTCTGCAGATGCGTGTGCCAGCATGGCGGTGTACCAGGGGCCTCAGAGGGAGCAGGAGGATTACTCCAAGTTCACCATTCAGGAACCCAAAGAGACCTTTCAGACCCTGAAGCAGCTCAGAAACATCATGGAGGAACTTCAGAGGCAGCACAACATCCGCAGCGACACCGCGGCGCAGTACGGGAGCATGTGAGTTCAAATCTGTACTGTAATACCAGCAGGGGTAGAAACACATCGCATTTACTCTGTTACATGTACCTTTGTATGAAGTATATAGTCTCTAAAGTCAGTGCGTTACCAGGATAGGGCAGGCACGTTTGCTGGCCTTAGAGGTAAATGTGAAAGTGTGTGTGAGGTGTTTGTGTGGTGTGTGTGTGAATTTAGAGAATAGCTTGTTGAATATTTAGTTGTCTCCGACTCTTGTGAAAGTTAAATCTCAGGAATGCCTTGAGAGAATTTTCTTTACTTTTGCACAAATATCCACTTGGACTTAAGGATGCTATGCCAACTCAAGGATTATAGCAGCCTAACTTTTAAAATATGATAAGTAAATTTGATCAAAACGAACATTTAGTTTTTTCCCCATTAGCAGCTAATTGGATAGGAAATGTAGAATATATGCATACATATGTTTTGGGGGCAACCAGTGTCTGTTATACAGAATTGAAAAGGGGGAAACCGAGGGGATGACATGCGGCAAAGGGCAAAAAACAAGAGTGAACCAATTCGTGGTCGAAGGTCAAGGTCACGGTCACCGAACTCAAAAATAAAGTTTGATTAGATTATTCTAAAATCTTTTCATGTCGAAGAGGATAACATGAAGTAACAGACACAGTGAACTGCCACCAATTTGTATGTTCATAAAACCCTGGTAAATTCAGTTACCTTGTTAATTCCAGTGACTGCAATCAATCAGCCAATACCTGCTTACACACATTATTCATTATTAGTAGGGATGCTCCGATCGATCGGTGCTCTCGCAGATCTGCAGATCGCGAGAGCCGATCACATGACGTAAAATACATGACACTTTTCTCTGTGCGCGGCAAAACAAGCTCGCCAAAATGGCTTCACCAGTCTGGCAGTATTTTAAGGTGTCCGAAAATGACATTAAAATAGCGGTATGCAACGTGTGTGAAGCAGAAATCCTGCAGCTCCATCCACTCGATTGGATCGGCGATCGGTATCGGCCGATACTGATTCCGGCGATCGGCCCCAAAATTGGCGATCGGAGCATCCCTAATTATTAGGATTAGCATTAGCATGAGCATTGGCTATTCTCCCTGGGGTCCTCTCACACACAAAACATACATAAAACAAAACGGCTCATAATTTCATGCAATTCACAGTGCTATATGAAGTGAAAACTAAAATTGTCATCCAATTTTAGCCATCATAAGGCCAAACGAAAAAATACAAATAATTCCACATAATAACCAGGGTGTCCGCGGGGTCTTAAAAAGTATTAAAAATTGATAAATCAATTTAGCGAAAATGAAGGCTATTAAAAAGTATTAAACGGCATTTTCCAAGGTATTACATTTTGTAGCTTGTTTTCAATAAGTATATAAATTGTCCAAAGAGGTTGTATTCTACAGTCTGCCTGAATGTAATCATTGCGTAGGTGTGTAGTGTGATTCTGTGAAGTTTATTTATGGCATCCCATTGGATTTGACGTCATCTGAACAGGACATCGCACTCTCACTGCTTGATAGCGCGCGAAGGTCCGTTTACGCCGGTTGTTAAGCAACATCGTTATGGGGAAATGCAAGTCTGCGTCCAAATGGTTGGAAGATAAGGAGGAAGGACAATCAATACTGTATATAGTAAATGTGAGGTAAAGTGTGTCGCCAATGTAACCGGTTAAAACTCGAAGTGGCGATGAGGTCTTAGAATGTATGGAAAGGGTCTTAAAAAAGGTCTTAAAAGGTATTACATTTGACTTCAGGATTCCTGCATATACCCTGATAACACATACATACCAAATCCGTGTATGGTTCGTTCTTTGGTTTTTCCGTTTTGGTTTTAAAACAAAAAAAACACCGGTGTTTAGTTTTTCCTTTTCGGATTTGAAACGGAAAAACCAAAGAACGAACCATACATGGATTCGACCAACCAGATAAGTTACCTTTTTGTATTCTCTCTGTTTCAGGGACAACCCCATCATAGGGAAAACCTCCTAACCCGAGCAGATCTGAACCGGAACCAGCTTCTCTGAACCCTGTTGAGTTCGCTCTGTTCGACCCCCCCCCCCCCTCCTCTGGTCCCTTTTCCCTCATCTTAATTTATGTCCTCTTTGATATCTACAGCTGTGTGAAAGAAGCATCATTACCTGGTGTGTGAATAGGCTGCTAATTTCTTTTATTCACCCATTTTTATTTTTTAATGATGCTCTCCCAAATCTCGTACGGTTTTGCTCTGACACCACGTCTTTTAAAGTTGATTTCATAATCATCTTTGTGGATTATGGTCCTCTATTTGTGCCCCTTTTTATCCTCTCTTAGTGTCCTTGCTCTGAACAAAAGTGTATAAATATTTTCCGAGGACAGTTGAGTAGAGGAAACCGATCTGCCTTACTTTGATGGATGTTTCTTTCACATGAAATGCTGAGGGAATAATGCAGAAGCACTTTAAATATTTGGAGCTCTCCAAATGGAAACGATTAGATACTTGGTATCAACTCTCCCCAATTTGATCAGTTTCATGATCCGTTTGTCTGTTTAATCATTCGTGTACAATAACATTTAAAGCCTGTAGATTTTAAGATATTTTTCTTGACCAAAGACGATTTCATAGGTTTGACTTGAAGAAAAAAAAAATGTATTTTGAATACAAATGTTTTCAAATGGAGAAAATTAGATAAACATACACAGAAACCAAATATATATATATATATATATATATATTTGGTTTCTGTGTATGTTTTTTTTTTGCTAACATATCCTTGTTTTAGTGACTTAAGGCGAGCATGCAGTCCTGAGAGCACATGGTGGTGTAGAGTCGTGTTTCCCTGTGATTGTGAATCGTTTCGGTACGCTGTGCATCGCAACATATCTGGAGTGGCTTATGTAAGGAACAAGAGGGAACAATCATATTCTTAAATCACCTCCCCATCATCCCTTAAATCAGGGGTGTCAAACTCAAGGCCCGGGGGCCAAATCCGGCCCGTGACTTCATTTTATGTGGCCCACAACAGCTCTGAAAGAATATAATGTTTATTATATGGTTACATGCCGATTTACAGAAGCACGTTGCCCATAAACTACATGTCCCACAATGCATCTCAGAATTTGCCTTTTTCTCTAAATTTGACTTATTTTTCAAAATGTTACTTTTTTCTCCAAATTTTCACTTTTTTTTGTGACTTTTTTTCTTCAGAATTTGGCTTTTCTTTTTAAAACATTTGGTGACATTGTCACTGAAGAGACTTGCAATTATTTGCCCTAGACTTCTGCTTTCAGACGTAGTTAATTATGAAGTTATTACCCTATCCGATAACAATCCAATGCAGAGGCAATAACATTATTTTATATATATTAAATATTTATATAGTCTTAAAGTTACAACCGGCCCTTTGAGTGCAACCATAATGCTAATGTGGCCCGTGATGAAATTGAGTTTGACACCCCTGCCTTAAATAGTCCAGACAATCACAACACATTTAATTTTTTAAATCAGCAGCTTTTGTACCTATGGCTTAAGGGAATTTGTTTGAAATGTGTCTCTTGTTGATTTAGTACGGTGCAAACATGCTAAAACATTTCCATTAGGAAAAACATGCTGCACTTTCAAAAATAATGTAAACACAAATGTGCCAAAACACATACAAATGAAGAAATATCTTCACAAACATTTGTGGCGTTTACTCAAGTGCTGCATTTAGGAATCTCTGCAAGCTCAAAACACAACGAAAACCAGGGGACACTAATAAGTGACGCACACAGCTGGGACAGGAGTGCTTGTTGACGTTAGCAGAGTTAGCTATGTTAGCTAGCTAGCTTACAACAGATCGGCAATAATATCAGAAGGAATCATGTGATCACATTGTTAAATTAAGTCAATAAATCTTACATTTTAGGTAAGCTTCCAACAATGGTGACAGTTGGCCAACATTATAATCCCAGAACGTCATTAAACTCTCCTGTCCCAGCTCTGTGCGTCACTTTTTCGTGTCCCCGTTTCTGCTGAGTTTTTAGCTTCTTGTGGCTTTTTTTAATTTGCAGCCCTTTTGGTAGACGCATGTTTCGTCAAATGTTTTCTAAACGCTGCGCATGTGTTGTCATGTTGGTGAAGATGTTTCTTCCTTTGCACGTGTTTTGACACATTTGGTGTGTTTTGGTCCGTTGTTCGCGTTTGCACCTGTAGGCCAACGTAGGTAAGCACTCCACTGCCAAAACCATGAAGAAAAGTATGTGTTGTAAAGTTTAAAAAAAATGCATTTATTGAAAATGATACACATGTTCTTTATGTGACTCTGTCCTAGTGTCATCCTCACAATCATATCTTGCAGAAGTAGGGTTGCATCTGCTGTCGAAGCTGTCAAATGTAATGATACATGCTTATCATAACGTATAAGAGCCAACCATCATGTCTTAAAATCTAAAAAAGATTGTTCCCCTGACATGATACAAACAAAGAAACATCTTCGGGTGTAACCAGCACACTTTAAGAAGTTTTAAAATGCCGTTAGTTAATCAACAAATATTTTTGAGCTGGAGAAAGTGATGAACAATCAGAGCTTTGACTCGATCGTGGTTTTGTCTTTTTCCCCCCATCATTTGCCCATTTGAACAATGAAGTGTTGAAAGATACAGAAGAAGAAACTTGAATTTATTTTAACGACAAGAGTTGGAACATTGTTATGCTGATGATACACGCTTAACCGTGTGTTTTTTGCCTGTGGAAATTATTTGTTCTGTCTTTGGTGCGTCATATATTTCTAAAATGTGCATGTGTTGTGTATTTAACAATATATTTTTCTAGAAATGTTTTGTATTTTTATTTTTTTTTTTTAAACACTGATTTAATGTGTTGCTATCTCGTCGCGGTACCTTGTTCAGTGTCTGCAGCTTCTTTGAGGTTTTTGTCCCTTTACTGACTCTGTGTGTTTGTATCTGCCAGCTGTTGTAAATGAACACAGTTTGAAGTGAAAACTGTGAGAAATGTCCAACAGCTAGCAATGACTGTCCACATGCAGGTTGTAGGTACATAAACTGCCTAATCGGAGCCAAAATGATTGATTACAGGAAGTTCATCTTTGCCTATACTCGTGGAAAGATTTAAGGTTGAACAAAATGACTCTGGACCAAATTTCAACCACAATTCATGGCATAAAGTTATTGTTATTTATTGTAAAAGCTTGCATGTCAACTCCATTGCTGGTTTTAATAAGGGCCAGTGAAGCAGCGTGTGATGTCCTCTGGTTGTGTGCTATTGTTCAAAAGACGGCGAACATGTTACGGTGTTTTATTTCCATTCACTTGGTCGGTTAGTTGTGCTTTTCTGATTTTAATAAGGGATTTCTTCATGCATTTTGTCCGTGAAATAAAAAACCCGTTAGTCAGCGTCTCATATCATAATAATGCCAAACTGAAAAGGGACGTGCTTTGATCAGAGGAACATTAGAAGCAGCCATCTGATGTGTGTTTCTGATATTAACCACAAAAGGTTTGAATTAAGAACAAATAATAATTTCAGGGTTTACAAATCAAGTCTCCTCTCAATCAGCGGACATCTGTTGAGCGTGAGTACGACAAACAATCCTCACGGGAAGTTTTTCTGAAATAAGAAAAAGCTTCTTCCTGTTCGGCACATCTTCACATCGCTTCTGAATGTCTCCACGGTACAAAGTCTGTGTCTGTTTTTATACACATTACATGTTTTATTTTCCATACAAGGTCTTTCCTATGTCCATTTGAAACAATTTACAATAAAAACACTTTGCCAACGCGTCTCATATTTCCTGCCGTGTCTGAGCTCGCATTCAAAAAAGATTAAGACTAACTCCACATAAAAGCTGGTTGGAAAATTGGTGAGTTTTATATTTCATGAGGAGATTTAGTGCGCTGTTTTATGGAGAAATGTTATATTTTTGACATATTTTCTAAAGAGCCTCTCAGCAACGAACAATATATTTCCAAAATGTTGCTTTTTTTTGACTTTCTGGATTTACACAACCATTAAAACAAAAAACAAGTCTTATTTGTACATCTTAAAGAGATTGACAGTGGTTTTAAAACGTTAAACGCAGCAGTATTTTATAAAGAGCCTCTTAGCAACGAACAATATATTTCCAAAATGGAGCTTTTATTTTACTTTCTGGATTTACACGACCATTAAAACAAAAAACAAGTCTTATTTTTATATCTTAAAGAGATTAACAGAGGTTTTAAAAAGTTAAACACAGCACGACATATCTTGAGGTTTGTAGCTGTTGGAGGCGGTGATAACCTTCGTGTAACACAGTTCAGTATTTGGTTTTTAATGGCCCCCCCCACAGTTTGTTTGACATAATATGAATTAAAGTGTGGGTTGGGTGGAAGGAATACAACCTCAAATAACCACAGAGCACATGAGAAGTGCCTACATCCCTTTTTGTTTATTTGATTTAATTGAATTGTTATCCCGTTTCAATTTATTTTCTTGGCTCTCCCTGAATATTCTGTGTTGAATTTGTACGCCAAATGCATGATTTTTAAAAGGTGCCAGATAAATAAACCTGCGTGCCTTCAGGGCGAGGTCCCCCAGGCGTCTGTAATGTTATTACACTCCACCTCAATCTTCTGATTTACTGAGGGCACATTCAGGGCCTCCTTTCCACTGCGGTGGCTCAGTCTTAGGAACATTAAAAGCCTTCATAATGAAAATATTATAACAAATATATGTTAAACATTATTCAATGCAAAATAACAGAATTAATCGTGCTTGCGGTGTTGAATAATGATCAACATTTAGTAGATGCATTGCAAGTGTATAGCAAGTTAGCATTACAATTCATTAGCACCTAAGCAATCTGCATCAGCAGCCAGAGAGGGCAAAAGTACACACATCCTTTACTCGAGTAGAAGTACAGATACTCGTGTTTAAAAATACTCTGGTCAAAGTAGAAGTACTGACTACACTTCTTTACTCAAGTGAAAGTAAAGAAGTATGGGCTTTGAAATATACTTAAGTAAAAAGTACCCATAACTAGCAGCTGTTTTAAAGAGTACCTGACCTCCCTTTATATTAATAGAACAATAATGTCATTGTTAGCTAATGAATGTTTCCATGCTGAACAATGGCAACATGACAACATTTTCATTGGTCCCTCTTCTTTAGAGAAGACCAGGAAATGATGGATACACAGATCGTGTTCAAATCAATAGGCACGCAATGACTCTAAATAATAATGATCACGCCACCAAACACACATTCAAACTAAAGGAACCAGCCTGTTTGGGAAATGTGAGAAGTAGAAAGTACAGGTATTTGTGTTCAACATGTAAGAAGTAGAAAGTATAGGTATTTGTGTTCAACATGTAAGAAGTAGAAAGTACAGGTATTTGTGTTCAACATGTAAGAAGTAGAAAGTACAGGTATTTGTGTTCAAAATGTAAGAAGTAGAAAGTACAGGTATTTGTGTTCAACATGTAAGAAGTAGAAAGTACAGGTATTTGTGTTCAGAATGTAAGAAGTAGAAAGTACAGGTATTTGTGTTCAAAATGTAAGAAGTAGAAAGTACAGGTATTTGTGTTCAAAATGTAAGAAGTAGAAAGTACAGGTATTTGTGTTCAAAATGTAAGAAGTCAAAGTAAAAAGTCGTCAGAAAAATAAGAAGTGGAGTAAAGTACTGATACCAGAAAAATTTACTTAAGTACAGTAACGAAGTATTTGTACTCCATTACTTCCCACCTCTGATCACCAGGTTGCAACTACAAGTAATTGTGTTTAATTACTCCAATCAAAATGTGCTTATACTGTGGCCATACAGTAACCCGGTGGTATGGACTCATCTAACCTAACCCTGTCTACTTCTGTCTAAAGATATTTTGAGAATATGTTTATTTTCGTTTCTTTACAAGAGTTAGAAAGATGGTTTCTGTGCAGTACAGCAGCTTGTTTTCTTAGCACAGAGACTGGAAACATCTGCTTTGAGGTCTAAAGGAAAATGTTTGCATTTTAAGGGTCAAACATATACCACAGCATGAGATGTCTTCACCTTACAGGGATACAAAGCGCAGTGTGTGAGGGATCTGATGTCCAGTTCAAGTTTAAAGCACATCCTACAGAGGCGTGCTGCGTTCTGATCCCTGAACAGTCCTTAGCGTGCGTTGATGTATTTGCTTTCATCTCTTATGAATGAACTTCCTTCACCCTGTCCCCTGCAGCTACCTGACTTTGAAAGAAAATACAATTAAAGGGGCAAGTTAGAGAAAAATAACTTAACCCTCCTGTTGTCTTAGTTTTCCCCCCTTACTTTGGTCCTGTTTTAACTGCTATTACATTAACACAAAAACCATTAATCATCACCAAATTTCATTTAACACCCTTTCAAACTGTACATATTGTATCAGACTACTGGTATACATGAAAAACTGCAGTAAATATACAAAGAACAGACACTGAACATGTATTGCGTGTGCCAGGTGTGATCCATGTGGGGGGATCGGCACATAAGAGCGGGAAAACACATCTATAGTGTGTGTGTGTGTGTGTGTGTGTGTGTGTGTGTGTGTGTGTGTGTGTGTGTGTGTGTGTGTGTGTGTGCGTGTGTGCGTGTGTGTGTGTGTGTGTGTGTGTGTGTGTGTGTGTGTGTGTGTGTGTGTTTTATCTGATCCGGATGGTTACTAATTCCTTTTCTTTTTTTACCGGGAACACCATGGGTGTTACAAAGTTGACTAAGTCATCCCAAATTCAATGAATCAGCAATTGTATATGTTCAAAAGTCTACTGTGAAGGATATCATAAAGCCTTAATGCAATCGAATGTAAAACAAAAAAGTTATGATTGATGAAAGTAGTAAATCGGTCAGATTGTACCCGAACACAACAGGTCACCTATTATGCAAAATCCACTTGCTCATGTCTCTTCTACATCAACATGTGTCCCCTCTTCTTCATGTCTCTTCTACATCAACATGTGTCCCCTCTTCTTCATGTCTCTTCTACATCAACATGTGTCCCCTCTTCTCCATGTCTCTTCTACATCAACATGTGTCCCCTCTTCTTCATGTCTCTTCTACATCAACATGTGTCCCCTCTTCTTCATGTCTCTTCTACATCAACATGTGTCCCCTCTTCGTCATGTCTCTTCTACATCAACGTGTGTCCCCTCTTCTTCATGTCTCTTCTCAACATGTGTCCCCTCTTCTCCATGTCTCTTCTACATCAACATGTGTCCCCTCTTCTTCATGTCTCTTCTACATCAACATGTGTCCCCTCTTCTTCATGTCTCTTCTACATCAACATGTGTCCCCTCTTCTTCATGTCTCTTCTACATCAACATGTGTCCACTCTTCTTCATGTCTCTTCTACATCAACATGTGTCCCCTCTTCTTCATGTCTCTTCTACATCACCATGTGTCCCCTCTTCTTCATGTCTCTTCTACATCAACATGTGTCCCCTCTTCTTCATGTCTCTTCTACATCAACATGTGTCCCCTCTTCTTCATGTCTCTTCTACATCAACATGTGTCCCCTCTGTGTAAAGAGACTCTGAAAGTTTCAGGAACAAAGATTCTCTCTCTTTTTGTCCTGATCCATTTATATAAAAACCTGTCTGAAAATGAGCTGATCAGATTTTGGCCACTTTATGATGTCATAACGATGTTTTGGCTTGTGTAACCATTAGCCAATCAGCAACCAAGGTAACCCCCCCCCTTATCACCTGAATCTCCTCCTAGAGCACCATTGTGTTCTTTTGAACCAAATCTCTCTCAGAGGGGCGTGGGGAGGGGCTCCTTATTTTCATCTAAAGTAACAGACAGAGAATCAGCACTTTGGAAACAGGGCTGAAACAGAGGGGATTATGGGTAATGCTGCAATGATCTGTTTGGTGTTTGGAGCCAAACACTTCAGAGACAGGTTTTGTATATATCTGAGACCTATAATATATTGATGAAAAACAGTATAATAGGGGACCTTTAAAGTAAACCAGACTTTAGTTTGGTTTGGGAACTGTCTCTCCAAATTGTGTGGCCTTGTTGTTGTTCTCTGGCTGCTTAGTTTCCACTGAGCATCATACATTGCACTTCAGGAAGCTAAATCCTGTGTTTATTTGACTGAAACCTCTATATTTAGTGATTGACTGGGTTTAAACTCCTTCTGCACCAGTGGCTTTCTTTTCTTTTGGTCTGTTTACTTTGCATATACACAAGAGGGATATTAGAAAGCAAATCGAGATTTTTTTGTTACCGTCATCACTGTTCCTGAAGGTTGTCCTCGTATCTCTTTTCATATTTTAGCAGTGGGTGGTTGATTGCCTGCTGTGCCACGACTCTCTGTCCTCTCAACCTCATCCAACAGATCATCCACAGGCCATCCTCACACACTTTACTCCCTCTTATTTTCATATAAATATCTTTATTTTAACATATCTTTAAATTGCACATTTGTACTGCTCGTCTGTATATTTATTTTTGTTGTTTATCTTGTGTTTTATTCTTAAAGGTCACCTATCATGCTATTTTTAGGCAATAGCATAGGTCTCAGATATATAAATATATATAAAAAACATGTCTATGAAGTGTTTTTCTCAAAATACCAAAGAGATCACCCATTCTAGCCATGCCTCATATCCCTCTGTTTCACTTCCTGTTTCAAAAGTGCTGATTTGGGGAATAAAGCTTTTTAAAAAGGAGGGGTCTGAGCTCATGGGGGACCCGGCAGCTACTGTCTAAACTAAATACTGCGGTGATGAAACGCCATATCATGGATTATCAAGGATTATCTCTGAAACAGTATGGAGCTCAAAGGCTTTCTCTCTTGCCGGTTATACCACAAGGTGAGTTCCTTTTTATTTCCTGCTTCTTCACACACATGCTCTCCAGTACAGGTTAGCTCTGAGTGTTAGCGATGCTAATGTAAACACCGACCATATTACGTCCAAAACAGTCGGGCATTGTTTCTGATAGCAACGTTTCTGATAGTGCTGTGGGTCCACATTTCAGATATTACGTCATATCGGACGCAAATCTGGATCAGCTCCGTTGTAGCCCCGTTTTTCGAGATTTGGGTACGGAGGAAAAGAGAGAGGGTTTTATTTTCTGACGCTGCGTGAGTTCCCTGACACACCGGGGACACATATTGATGTATAAAAGACATCAAAAAGTGCATTTTGCATGATAGGTCCCCTTTAAATGAACGGCCTTGTGTGTTGATCACTAAATCATTAAAGCTCCCCTCATACTCCAGTTAACACTCGTTATGCAAAAAGGGGAAGAACCACAAGTGAACACATAAAGCTCAAAACACATACAAATTAACACGATGCCAAACATATCTCCAACATGTCTAAAGTTGTTTCTGTGGCTCAGATGTTTATGGGCGTATCTTTTCCTGGCAAATGCAGCAACATATATTCTGCCAAAATATTTTACACACCACGTGTTCAATTAGTCCAATAAGTGAAAGGCTTTAAAGGGCACGAATCAAACTTTATTACACAACATAATAATATTAATATTCATTACCAAAACGTATGTGTCATATTAGTTTGTGAGTATTGATATTTTAAATGATGCATTTCAGTTTTGTCCACATGATGTCTACACTTCTGTGTTTGTTCTCACTGACGTCTGGTAAAGTAATACAGTTGATTATTTAACATTACATAACAGATCATGTGCACACACACAACTGAAGACATTTGATCTGATCGTCCAGAGTTCAATCTGACTAAGAGTTCATCTGTGAGAGCAACCAGCATCCAGGAAATGTGAAATGGGAACATGGTTAATTCATATCTGGCTTTTCATATTTGTAAAACTACAAGGTGAGAAACAATGACATCAATTTGTGTTTACTTTGGAAACAGTCTTTGCATAGGATTCAGCAGATATAATATAAGATTCACATCGGCGAATAATAAAACATGTGTCCCATTGTGGTCATGTGTTGATGGGGCTCATGCAGAGAGGCCGTTGACTCTGTAAGGCAGCGGGGGGGAGGACGGAGGGGGAGACTCTGGGTGAGGAGGGGAGGACGGAGGGGGAGACTCTGGGTGAGGAGGGGAGGACGGAGGGAAGAACATCGAGGATTCCTGGAAGAGCGAGACAAAGAAAAGCCAAAAGTCAAAGATCTTTTCTGTGGATTAAACGTTATGTAATTTGTGTGTGTGTGTGTGTGTGTGTGTGTGTGTGTGTGTGTGTGTGTGTGTGTGTGTGTGTGTGTGTGTGTGTGTGTGTGTGTGTGTGTGTGTGTGTGTGTGTGTGTGTGTGTGTGTGTGTGTGTGTGTGTGTGTGTGCGCACAATCACTGGGTAGAGCCGGTGAGCTGTGTGTGTGTTGGTGTCCATCAGCAGGGGAGCTGTCGGGGAAGATGCTGCGCTCTCAGAGGACTCGCTCACACTGCTGCTGCTCCTCTGAAACACACACACACACACAAACACACACACACACACACACACACACACACACACAGAGGTCAGATGCTAAGTCTCAAACTCTCTGATGACAACATTGTTTTGAAAGGTCTTCACATCCCTTCAGTCTAACGAGGAGAAAGGTGGGGGAAACTTCTGAAGCAATTGGAGACAGGACTCATGTTGACCACAGGGTTGAGATGCCAAATCAATTCTGAAGAACCCTTCCTCTCGTATGTTTGAACTAGTTTCGCTAAGGGTAATCAACATTCTTCATTAGTTAGACTAAACAGGTGGGGACACTGAATCATAATTGTTGTGGCGTATGGCTTAGATGACCTTACACCTTCGGGGTCCTCTACTCCCCGAAGAAGGATGTGTTCCAGGTGTCCCACAACAATAAACTATCTCTGACCGACAGTTGCCCCTTCATAAACTGGTAACAACAACTTGCTTGGGCAGCCCCTCCTTAAGGGAGATTAACGGCTGCAGTTGGAGCATCTGCGTCAGAGGGCGAAGGAGGACACTCAGGGCAAATTATTCCCTGACAATCACATGATACAAATACAATGTCTTGGACTTAAGTGCTACACACATGACATGTTGCTGTTTCCATATTAGCAATATTAAAACAACTTATAGACAAAGGAACATGCACAAAAGGACAAACACACTGTATTAGGAGGCTGTGGCTCAGTGGGTAGTATGATGGACTTCAATTCAGGGGATAGCAAGTTCGAGTCCCACTGCAGTCAGCATGTCGTTGTGTCCCTGGGCAAGACACTTCTCCCCAAATTGCTCCTGTGGGGATTGTCCACAGTACTGAATGTATGTAAGTCGCTTTGGATAAAAGCGTCTAACAAATGACATGTAAGGTAATGTATTACACAATCCCTCATCATACCCTGAATATATTGCAGCCTCAAACATCATTATTAAAACATTTTATTGAGGTGAAATGAGTTGTTAAATGGTTGACTCTATACGGTCAGCCAGAGTGTCAGACACACTCAGACAGAGAACTGAATATTTATAACAAAAGAGTCATATTTCATTCACATTTGGCAGCAAACACTCTGGATACTGCTGGATGAACTCATTACATTACATTACATGTTACTTGTTAGACATACTCAATACTGTGGGCAATCCCCACAGGAGCAATTTGGTGTGAAGTGTCTCAGGGACACAACGACATGCTGACTGCAGTGGGGTTTGAACCTGTGCTCCCTTGATCCGAACACCACTGCGCCACACGCCTCCATAACTCATCTCTCCTTTGGAAAAACACTTTATTGTTAAATAACAAAGGATCCTAACTCAGTAAATGTGCTTCATCAGGACTGAGTGAGTGTGTCTTGATCAGATTTGTAACATTAGAAAACACCAAAACTGACATTCTTTTACTACATTTTGATTTCATTTTTGCAAAAAAAACTATTACGACCGGTATATAACCTTCACCTCTGTCCTCCTCTGTGCTCAAGTAGGACTTTATTTTGCTCATAGTAAAAAGCTTATTTGAGGAAGCATGTTTTCAGGGCCACACATGAGCACCTTGATGGAATGTAAGTGAGAACAAATGTGGCATTTATAACAAAAGTGTAACTGAAACACATATTCTTTTATTCTTTTTCAATGCACTTTCAACTTTAGCATATACAGCTGATCATAGGAGCGTTATAAAAACAGTACTGCCACAAAGTACTGTGTACGTTGTTCAACTTTAAGGAGGCGCGTTTCATGGCGTTAATAACATTAGTTATCATTAATATTTAATGTGTTATAGGTTTTTGTGCATGTAAATGGTCTGCAGAGGCTAAAATCCATTACAGCATGTAAACATGTCACAGTAGAAGCATAACATACAAATATGAACCTGAAAATGAGCATAATATGTCCACTTTAATCATTTTTAAATGGCCATATTTTAATGATGCAATAAAAAATGTTATTTCTTTTAAAATGCGACTTGGTAACAAATGAATTCAAATGTAATCTGTGCTGATTCCTTACTTTTTTCTGATCTGATTACTTAACCCTTCCTAATGAAATGTAATCAGCGACTACCATACCTTAAAGGTCCCATGTCATGCTTTTCCAGTTATTACCCGTCCCCTTGTGTGTTATGTAGCTTTTTATGTAAACGGTCTGCAGAGTCTAAAACCCTCAAAGTACACCCTGTAGCGAGTAAAACTCTAACACAGAAAAGACCTGTCTATGCTGCCCCAGAACGCCTCGTTGGAGATTTCTCTTTTTCCATTGTTTACTTCTTGGGTATAGTGACGTATTTCGGGTATAGTGACGTTACGTTTGGACCAATCCGCGGACTTCCTCACACACACACACACTCGGCGGGACGTTGCGAGGCTCGCTGCTGCGAGGAGCAGACACTGTGAGGTGGCTCACTGGTGTGGGGTCGGCGAGACAGCGAGACACCGCGGAACTCAGCCTGGGCACACACACAAACTCCCAGCCAGGCTGCGGGTGTGTGTGTGTGCCCAGGCTGGGTTTTGCTGTGTCTCGCTGTCTCGCAGACGGCCACTGGGCTCACAGGGAGGGGGGGGGGGGGGGGCAGGAGCTCCAACAAGCCGTTTAGGACAGAGAGTGAATACACATACTATACAGAGATGCTGTATGAGAAACCAATGTGAGTTTGGAACATTACACAATATAAATGTATTTTAGTAGACCTCAACAATGGAGTTATGATCAGTAGAAATGGCCATGACATGGGACCTTTAAGGAAAGTAACGTAATTTGTTCAAGGACTTTTGCATTCAGTTTAAATATGCTACATAGATAAACTTGCCTTGTAACCAGGAATATTTCCACAAATGGGTCATCTAGACGTGATACTGCATCCCAGCTGCCTCATGTCGATTTCCTCTCCTTTATAACGTATAATAGATCAATCAAATCTAATAACATCAAGCTTAATTATCACTTGGTGAACACTTGACAAACAGCCTTTTCGAGTAGTTTAATTGATACAGATCCCTGCTAAAACCTTTAATAAATTAGTGCTCCAGTTGTTCTGCTTTATGCCGAAGGTATGTAATCTGCTTCTTTAAACTGTTGGTTCCGGTCTTTAATTTAATATATTGCAACCAGAATTCCACATGTCAAATAACCAGATACAGAGATCTTCACTCCTACAGGTCTTGAGTCTAAAGGAGTCTTATCAAGGACAATCATCTCTTCTGGAAAGGTATAGACAATAAGGAAGCACTATATACACACACACACACACACACACACACACACACACACACACACACACACACACACACACACACACACACACACGCACGAGATATTGAAGGATTTACTGTAGCATGAGGAGGAAAGCATTCCTAGGAAGTGAACAGAGACCGTTAATCACAGGGTGGATTATGTTATTCAGCAGGATGAAAGCTTTATGGGCTGCAGATAAATTAAGGGGATCTTTGATCTTTGAACGTTCATCAGTATTATAATCAAAAGGAGAAATATGAACGTTGAGGAGGGTGAGCACAAGTTTCCTTTTTTATTTCAATTCCAACCTCGGTCATGAAGAATATGTTTCTCTGTTGTCCCCGTTCATAAAGCATACAACAACAGCATCAGAGCACGGTGCAGAGTCTCTAGATGAGTTTACAGTAGTCCCTCGTTCTTATTAAACATCCATGTTGTAGTCCGCTGTATAGAAAACTGTAGTTTCCATAGTTTCCCCACAGCAGCAGACGCACATTCATGACGTCCGCTGGCGCATCATAAACACGTCGGATAGTGAACGTGCAGTCGGATTCTCTAAAGCACCGCAGTCTCTTCTCCTAAGTCCTTTTGAATTCTCCTATCCGCTATTCCTTAACCCCGTGACGTTTCACTCAGAGGTTAAGGGATAGACGATAGGGTTAGACGATAGGAGCTGATTTTTGGACTATTCGACTGCACCCTCTGTCTGAAACCAGAGCCCAGTCTGCTCTGATTGGTTAGCTGGTCGGCTCTGTTGTAATTGGTCAACCGCTTAGATATGTCATATATGCCATTAGCCTTACTTTGTAACTTTGGGATTTTAGCCTTTGCAGACCATTTACATGCACACAAACCTGTATAACACACTACAGCAAAGGGAAAACCCCCGAAAAGCATAATAACGCCTTTTAAAAACTTCTTCAATGTACTTTAGTTTCATCCTTTCTTAACAAACCCAGTTGCTGCTACAGTCGATGGTTTTAAGAGCTGCAGGAGGAGAGGAGGAATGCTTTTGATTTGTGTGGGCTGAACATAATGGTGGATTGATTTAAAGGCTTCAAACTACTACAAATAAAATGTTTGACCTTGTGTACTATACCCTGTCTTTCCTTAGATACCATAAAACATACTATACATAAATACTGTCTGGCTCCATAAACTATTTGTGAAACTGAGCATGAGTTATATTCAGTTTTCCACAGTTTCACCTCTTTGCTCCGTCTGCTATCTGAGTTGTGTTGTAAAGAGATTAGCTCTTAGCAGTAAAAAGCCTGGAACATCATACCGAACATGTGATTTATGTCTCTTTCTGAATGCCGATCATGCTAAGAGACAGTCATTAAATGGATTCGTAGTTATTTTTTCTTTTTATGGATGAATAAAAAGTTAAAGGACATGCTGTTAACCTCAATGTTCGGAGATATCTTGGACATAAAATGCTTTGCTTTTTGAAAGCAGAACAGAATGTGAAATCTTTCTGATGAACTCCAGGCTAGTGATGTGACGTTCGCGAACGATCCGACTCTTTTGAACGGCTCTTTGGTACGAACGAAGGGAACCGAGTCGTACTTGGTGAGAGCCGTTCTTTTTATCGTTGGTTCACTGCCTGCCACAAATCCACTCGCCTTTAAAGGTCACCTATTATGCAAAATCCACTTGTTCACGTCTCTTCTACATAATCATGTGTCCCCTCTTCTTCATGTCTCTTCTACATCAACATGTGTCCCCTCTTCTTCATGTCTCTTCTACATCAACATGTGTCCCCTCTTCTTCATGTCTCTTCTACATCAACATGTGTCCCCTCTTCTTCATGTCTCTTCTACATCAACATGTGTCCCCTCTTCTTCATGTCTCTTCTACATCAACATGTGTCCCCTCTTCTTCATGTCTCTTCTACATCAACATGTGTCCCCTCTGTGTAAAGAGACTCTGAAAGTTTCAGGAAAAAAGATTCTCTCTCTTTTTGTCCTGATCCATTTATATAAAAACCTGTCTGAAAATGAGCTGATCAGATTTTGGCCACTTTATGATGTCATAACGATGTTTTGGCTTGTGTAATCATTAACCAATCACCAACCAAGGTAACCCCCCCCCCCCACCTTATCACCTGAATCTCCTCCTAGAGCACCATTGAGTTATTTTTAACCAAATATCTCTCAGAGGGGCGTGGGGAGGGGCTCCTTATTTTCATCTAAAGTAACAGACAAAGAATCAGCACTTTTGAAACAGGGCTGAAACAGAAGGGATTATGGGATGCTGCAATGATCTGTTTGGTATTTGGAGCCAAACACTTCAGAGACATGTTTCGTATATATCTGAGACCTATAATATATTGATGAAAAACAGTATAATAGGGGACCTTTAAATGAACTTGCTTTCCTGAATGCACGTTAGCCATAGATGATGGCGTAACGCATTCTGCTTGAGTAGTAGTTTGACTGGCTGACAGATGCAGCAAGTTATACATTTTCTGTGAGTAAAAGTAGATTTCTGGCAATACAGTCAATCATTATCCTGGTGATTCTTTCGCAGATAAACCTATTAACCCGTCCCCTTAAAAAAATAAGATCCGGCTCCCTTCAAAGAGCCGTAATTCCCATCACTACTCCAGGCTCTCCTTAACCCACGGTTCAACTTTAATATTCATATCTGTATCATATCAGTTTTCCCCAACATGGCATTTGTGGTATGGCTAGCTGGATATTATATTGGCAATCATTTCAATTCGAGTCTTTGTTCAACAAATGTATCTGATCTTGCCTCTGTCACATCGTCTCTAGAGTTCATCTGACTAAAAGTTCATCTCTGAAATTATGAGAGCATCCAGCATCCACGAAACGTGTATTGAAAACATGATTGGTTCATATTTGTAAAACAACAAAGTGAGAAATAGCTTGTGTCCGGAGTTCAGCCCAGGTTACTTCTGTTTTCGGATATTCTTCTGTTTCTGGCTTGTGGACTTTGAGTTTATTTATTTTTGTATTATTAAATCTTCTCAGTTTCAGTTTTGCCCCTCAAAGGGTCTTGATGCTTCTACTTGAGCTTGGTTTTAAGGTCTTCTATGTATACAGTGTCTAAAACTCAAAGAGTGCAGCTCCGCAGGTTAATTAAATCATGTCATATATTTAGTTTAAATTGTAAAGAAATATAAACAATCCCTTACATATAGGTGTTAAATATTTTAGGAGTAGGGTATCGGCCTTTTTGTCTTCATATATTGTATAGTTTTATTTTCGTTGTAATATACTTCTTAATCTTTAATTTATGTACTACAGTATGTCTTTGAGCTACAGTAACAACCCCTTCTTGGGATCAATAACGCTTTAACCTTATTTGCTGTTACTCTGGCTTTACAGTATATACAACATCAACACAAATACTACCTTATAAACGTCTTACCAGGTGTTTGACGCTGCCGAGCACCGCTGTGGTGAGGATTCCCGCGAAGAAGGCCACCAGGTTCAGGCTGGCGAGGATCCAAATCAAAACGTACAGAGTGAAAACTTCCTCACAGCTTTTTACTCCAACAAACTCGTAGTAGTTGTTCAGGTAGCCTCCACTGCGGAAGGAAAACAGAATCCGTTGTAATTTAAAGGTCACCTATTATGCAGAATCCACTTCTTCATGTCTCTTCTACATCAACATGTGTCCCCTCTTCTTCATGTCTCTTCTACATCAACATGTGTCCCCTCTTCTTCATGTCTCTTCTACATCAACATGTGTCCCCTCTTCTTCATGTCTCTTCTACATCAACATGTGTCCCCTCTTCTTCATGTCTCTTCTACATCAACATGTGTCCCCTCTTCTTCATGTCTCTTCTACATCAACATGTGTCCCCTCTTCTTCATGTCTCTTCTACATCAACATGTGTCCCCTCTTCTTCATGTCTCTTCTACATCAACATGTGTCCCCTCTTCTTCATGTCTCTTCTACATCAACATGTGTCCCCTCTTCTTCATGTCTCTTCTACATCAACATGTGTCCCCTCTGTGTAAAGAGACTCTGAAAGTTTCAGGAACAAAGATTCTCTCTTTTTGTCCTGATCCATTTATATAAAAACCTGTCTGAAAATGAGCTGATCAGATTTTGGCCACTTTATGATGTCATAACGATTTTTTGGCTTGTGTAACCATTAGCCAATCAGCAACCAAGGTAACCCCCCCCCCCCCCCCCAACTTATCCCCTGAATCTCCTCCTAGAGCACCAACAGGCGCTTTCACACCGGAGTACTTTTCCCGTTTAGTTCCGATAGTTCCTGGGATTTTGCGTTCACACCAAAAAGAGAACTTAGTTCATGAGAACTTTTACCCCCTTTTTAGTCCCTGCTAGAGAGGTGGTACTTTCCTGGGGAGTAAAAAGTTCCAATTTCGATTGGCTGGGCGAATTGCAAACCACGCCCCGTAAAACTCGGAAAGGTTTTGTGAAGCCGCCATTGTATTTGCTGGCATTAGCATTATTAGCATTAGCATTAGCCCCGCGCACCAACGGAGAGAGAATAACTTATGGCAACACAAAATAAAACATGGGAGCGGTGGAGATGAAGAGGTGTCGGCGTTCTGGCGATTTACTCGGAAGGCTTCAGTAGAAGCTGCTGGGAGTCCCAGCAGCTTCTACTGAAGTCAGTCCCCAACTCCGGGGACTTCCGGCCGGGACTTGGCAGTAAACCCAAAGCAGAAGAAGAAGAAGTGACGTCAGCGGCTTCATTTGCGTAATCTTCCCTCAGGGAACTTATTCCGGTGTGAACGCGATCTACTCCTATTAGTTCCATGGGGGTACTAAGTGCCGGGCACTAAGTACGGCAAAGTACTTGGTGTGAAAGCGGCTAATGTGTTCTTTTTAACCAAATATCTCTCAGAGGGGCGTGGGGAGTGGCTCCTTATTTTCATCTAAAGTAACAGACAGAGAATCAGCACTTTTGAAACAGGGCTGAAACAGAGGGGATTATGGGATGCTGCAATGATCTGTTTGGTATTAGGAGCCAAACACTTCAGAGACATGTTTTATCTGAGACCTATAATATATTGATGAAAGACAGTATAATAGGGGACCTTTAATGGAGAAGAAAAGGTAAAAAAAAAAGCCAGTGATTTTGGTGAAAGTTCTCAATAAATTGGCAGATGACAGGGGTCTGTTCGTCAATAATATCTAATACAGTATTGTAGAAATGTTATTCTCTCACTTGGCGCAGTCGTACAGGTCGCAGCAGTAGCAGGTCCCGCTTCGTACCGTCATGTTACACGACTCCTTTGGACTCCAACAGGTCGCCTGGGAAAGGAAACTGCAAATTAAAATGTGTCACAGTTCACCCACAAATAATACGAGTTTGGACAATAATTTTCTTAAAGACATCGAAAGCAAATTCAGAAACATAAGCATTTCATATGTCACAACCACTGAATACCTTACATTGCATGGATATAAATGTCTATGTTTTATAAGATAAGATAAGATGTACTTTATTGATCCCAATTTGGGACATTTTTGAAATAATATTCGAAATGATATTCACCTCTTTGCATTAAAACATCAAATGTCTTCATGTGCAATTTTGCAAGCTGATTTTTTTTCAATACTCACAAAATAGGATCCGAAAAATGTTCATTGCTTATTCAATCGGTCAAATTGAAGATGCAACATGTTCTGAACCTACATTTTTAGGATCTGAATTTGTGAAAGGTTGAAAAAAAAAATATTTCCACAACAAACAAATTCAGATAAATGGCTTTCAAATTGTCAATTCTATACATTTGGTAGTTTACATTTTTTTTATTTTTAGTATTCAGTAGATGTTAGAAAACGAAAATGTTTGTCTCTTTTTTGCTCCCATACATTGGTCTTCACTCACAGAGGTGTAGAAGTTCTCGTAGACGTAGCTGCTGCCGCCGCTGTAGTACTGGCATCGGTCTGCTTTCAGTGGACGCATGTCCTGCCAAAAGTAAAAATATGGAGAAATATCATCCACAGAATGTCATCAAAGACATCAATCTAACTTAATTCAGGTTACACCCAAGATATCAAGAAAAAAAATTGACATTTACAAGATAACCCAGATGTCTCTGATCAAAACTTTGTTTTTATTCTTTTTCGGATACATTTCCCAAAACTCACTCGGCCCAGTATGAACACAAGGTTACTTTCCTGGGAAATGTCTCAGGATTTTTTAAATATATTGAACTTTAAGGTCCTGGACTTCCATCAGTGCCCCTGCTGTGAGAGCGATGTGTGTGTGTGTGTGTGTGTGTGTGTGTGTGTGTGTGTGTGTGTGTGTGTGTGTGTGTGTGTGTGTGTGTGTGTGTGTGTGTGTGTGTGTGTGTGTGTGTGTGTGTGTGTGTGTGTGTGTGTGTGTGTGTGTGTTTATCTTAATATGCATTAAATAAATATATAAATACATTTGATCCGTAGTTCTTGTAGTCTTCCTCTTTACAGAATGAAAAAGGAACACAGATGTGGAAAATGGGAATCATATCTGCTTTGAATACGTTGAAGAAAAGCAACATGTTGAACCTGTTACTGAATAAGACACACTTACTGTAAGCATGGGCGTAATTTCCACTGGGGACAGGGGGGACATGTCCCCCCCACTTTTCAAAATCCCATTTGTGTCCCCCCCACTTTTTAAATGTGTTTATTATTTATTTTTTACGCAAGCGGTCATCGTCACGGAGGATTGGGTTGTTGTTAGCATCCGGTGCTAGCTCGGAGCTAACGGAGAATTGGAAGCTGTTTCAACAATAAGGAGAGGGAGAGATAACGCTCAGGGAGGTAAAGGACTCGCTGAGCGATTAGATTGTAAACTTTAGTCTAGTTATCTCAGTGGGTCTCAAACGGTTTCCTCATCTATGTAAACAAATATCTCCATCTATTTAATATTAGTTGTATATAAAATAAGTTAAGAAATCCTTCCAATGTGTACTATCTATAGGTCAGTACAAAAATAAAAAAACACAGTTTCAAAGGGGAGTGATTAGTCAAATATGCATAAATAAAAAGAAAGAAAGCAGACTAGGTAAGATAAAGATAGGAGAGAGGAGTTTATCAATGATTTGTTATTGCTTGTGAGCATATTCTAATGTTTTTTGGAGTATTGAAATATACTGTATACAGTTCTGTTTTATATGAGTGTTGAGAACTGTATCCATACATCTCTTCATTTGTGCACCAGATTGATGCATTTAGCTTCGATTTAAAGAAAACAAATCTTCCCGGGGTGCATGCCCCCGGACCCCCCTAGAGGATGTCAGGTAATCACAAATAAAACAGGTTCACATGGATAGGATACTAGATAAGTGTGCACACTCATTATATACACTACACATTTTTCTTGGATTTGTTAACACTATAGTCCCTAATATATTTGTAGAAAGGCAGGAAATTAAATTAAATTGAGAAAAATGTTCATTGTGGAGGACCCCCTGTTTTGTGTCCCCCCCCACTTCTCAAACCAAAGTTACACCCTTGACTGTAACGGAACGTCTCCACAGCAGCGTTAAAAAATCTTGAAACGCTTCTGCCCATTCACTTTGAATGGGGTGACGTCACTTTCCCTCACTTTTCGCCGAAATGCATTGTGGGCAGGCGAGCGGAGATTTTCAGGATTTTCAGGATTCAAAGTTGAACAATGTTCAACTTTTGAAGCTGAGGTGGAAGCGGCAGCCAATCAAATCCCGTGTACGCAAATCTGGCAGTTCAAGCTCTAGCCAATCAAACGGCGTGTATGCTGGGAGAGACATACCGCAGGTCATTTCCTCATATTCCAAAAAATGGAGGAGAAATTAGCGGTAGGGAATCACCCGGTGCTTTATGACCAGTCCCTATTTACCTACCGGGATATAAACCGGAGGAGCCAGGCATGGAGGGAGGTGGCAGAGACAGTGGTAGGTTTTCGCCTGTTTTGGGAGTTTATATCCAGTTTACTTCGGGCTTTTTTGCTTCGTATGTCGCGGGCGGGAGATTCATGTGATTGGTTGCTCGCAAAAAATCCTCAAGCTTCAGATACGCCCACCTCCAAGATTTTTTTAACGCTGCTGTGTAGACGGCCCGTAAGAATGAATATATTACAGCTAATTTGAAAAATGTATTCAAGAGAAGTATGCATGCATGCTGTAAATCTTCCATACCGTGTTAGCAGAACACAGCTAGTATCTAATAGTAAAGCACTGGTGCCATTTGTTGTTCAATAAATCTGTTTTGAACACAGAAGAACAAAAGGTTAAAGGTGGGGGCTTGACTCTTTTTACTTTATTTTATTGTGCCAATGTGAAGTAATCCCTTCTCCTGGGTCTGTCTGTAAAACGTTGACGCGATAAAGTTCCTGATTCTTTACTGCAAAAACGTTAAGTCATAAAAATTTCTTATTCTCAAGGAGTTCTGTATGATCTGCAGCATATTAGAAAATGACATGGAAAGACTGTTTTGTGAAACAAAATGCAACGCGATAATGAAAAATACAGGATTCTTCACAAGTATCTGATCGAGGGGAACGTCATGCTTTCTGTAGCGGAACATTTCTAGACGTGATTTTTGGCAAGAAAGTATTCCTTATCTGGGTGTTTCTCCTGTTCCTCGCAAATGTTAGATAAATTGATCAAAATTTATAGTGATAGGTGGTTTGCACACATGCAACACACCCTTAAATCAGATTAGGATGTTCTTTTACACAAACTCCTCATGTAGATTAGTCATGGAAAATGTTTTTCTTCGTATCGACAGCCAAAAAAGTTGAAATATAACTATATAATAATCTTGCACGCCCTGCGATTTGACTGTTGGACGTGCTCACCTGGAGCTGTTGATGCTGAAAGGATATACTGTCGAACCTCATTTCAGAATAACAGAAATCTCAGCCTGGATTCATTTTTAGTTTGGTCCAGAAAGATAAACACAGGTCTTCGAAACAAAACAGCCAGAAAAATGAAATGTATTTTAATCACTTCAACACTTGTCTGCCATTATCAGGTTGCATGATGAGAGAGCTGACCTGGTGTTACTCTGCGAAGGGTTGAGGGCTGACCCAAGAAGAAGAAGAAGAAGGTCAATAATCTCTTCTCTGTAACCAAACTGAGTACATGATGTACAATGGCTTTACATTTTGAGTTAGATGAAAAGATTGATACCACTCTCGTACATCTGTGTGCTAATAAGGAAGCTACACAAACTTATCTTAGCATACAGACGAAGAAAAAGCTAGGCTGGCTCTGCTCAATGTGAATAACCTCCACTGACCTGAACCTCTGAACTCACTCATACATGTGATGCCTGTTTCCTTGTATCTTGTCACAATATTCGTGTTGTTGCAAAAAAGACTTGATGTGAGAAAGTGTTACTGTATCGTATCGATTCGTAATGTATCGTATCATATAGAGTCTTTGCTTCACAGTGGGATGTTTTCTTTCACTTACTTGAATAAGATTTTAATGTAGTCTCACGCACACACGCACGCACGCACGCACGCACGCACGCACGCACGCACGCACGCACGCACGCACGCACGCACGCACGCACGCACGCACGCACACACACACACACACACACACACACACACACACACACACACACACACACCACTGAGGTCGGTTTACTTTCATTTCTGAGTGGAAGAATTCAAGTTGAAATCGCTGATTTAAACGTTACCAATTTGTATCGGAAAAGTTATGATCATTTCCATGGTAGCATAAAAGCTTATTTTATTGATATGTGAAGACACAAGAACACAGTTGAATTTTTACTCCAAAATATTGTGAAATGTCGACATATGTGTAAATAAAAACTACAATCAAGAGCATCATTGTTGGTAGTTGTAAGGGCGTTACATCAAATTATAAAACTGTTTTTTCAGAGTGAGTGGATCCAAGTGGAATTCATTTTAGTTTATCTTAGAGGCTGGAAACAGCAATGAAGTTAATTATTTGTTATACAGTTAAATGTTTTATCAGGGAGGCATCTTGCTCTCGATCAATCACATTCAGTAACATTAACCTGTTGAGCCCTGAGCCTGTTTTTCAGGTCTCAGGCTCGAAAATGACATTCCCAGAACAAATGACTATATCTTCACTTCTAAAAGGGTTACATTAATAATCTTTTTTCTCAAAGTAATGATAAACCTGTGAGTTGGATGTAGAAAAGTCAGAATCAATATAGATGTTTTTTATTTTAAAGAAAATTCAGATTGAACATAGTAAAAAACTGTACATTTTAGTGTCCGTCCAAAGATTATTTTTTACTTATAGTGAAAACTACCCTTGGATGATGGGTTAGTAGACTAAAAGCTTTAGGAATCCAAAGTACAACATATAATAAGTACCCTGTATCAAGATTGATGCAAAACAAGTGAAATATGACCTTTTTAGAGAGATTTAGAAAAATAAACTCCACCTCTGAGGTGATTTGGGTGGAAAGCCAAAGCAAACCGGACGGTGCCGCTCGGTCCTGCCCAGTTTGTTTTCTCACATTAAGATTTTATATCTGCTAATCAAAGCTGTTAAAAGAAACCCTTATAGCTGGAGCATGTTGTAAAACCTTATGGGAACTCGTTTTCTGTGTAAATATCGCCAACTGAGCGCTGTTGGCACCCTGCGGGCCAAGAGGCTCACATTAAAGCAGCGTGAGGATTGTTATTGCTTTATAGTGTCATGTTACTGCTTTGTTCCATCGTCCATAACAATCATATCACATTTCACAGTTTACGCAAGTAAGTGCCGTTAACTCACCATGTTAAACACAACACAGACGCCATCAATCACCACGCACAGGAACGAGCCCATCACGCCCAAACTGAGGAACACTATCGCAGCAGTCAGCTGGAGCGGGAACAGAGAAAGAAAACACAAATGAGAGGATTTCCAAATAAAGCTGCATGACGGGAACAAAACACATGTTTGGCTATTTTCCTTCCAACATGTTAGATTTGCAAAACAGTCACAGCAGGAACAGTTTGGAAGCCATACTGTACTTAACATGTGATAGTTGTGGAGCGATGTCTTCACACGGCAGTTTGCTTTAAAAAAAGGGTGTTTCTTTGTAGCATTAATTAACTCATTCAATAAAGAGAATATTGCTTTAATCTTTAAATGTCTTATGTTTGAAGGCAAAATTATAAAAAATTACATTTTAATATGACATTTGTATGGATTTCCTATCTCATCTCAGAGGGAGTTTCTCTCCCACACACTCGCGCTTCTATCGGCTAGCGCTCTGATACATTGTGTGTGATAGGCTAAGGGGCGGGACATCTTTAAGCTGTTGATCAATCACAACAGAGCCAGCCAGCTAACCAATCAGAGCAGACTGGGCTCTGGTTTCAGACAGAGGGTGAAAAGAGGTGCTGCAGCACAGGCAGTATGAGACAAATAAAGAGCTTTTTGAACATTAAAGGTGGGGTAGGTAATTTTGGAGAAACCAGCTCGAGTGCGCTAGAATTTGAAAATACACAGCCGGAAAAAATCTGCCACTTCCTTACAGAGCCCCTCCTCCAACACACACGAACGCGCACATGACCAATGAGGGCACGAGATAAGTTTGTGCACAGATGGAAGGCTGACAGGCAGGTAGGCCATCCAGTTATTTTAGCTGGGCCGGCTAAAATGATTGGTCGTGCTTTTTACAGTACTACGGCTTCCACAGATGACATTTTTTTATGTATTTTTTGTCAAAGCACTTCAGATATTCATTGCTATCGGGATGTTAAGAGTATTCCATGGAATATAACAAAAAGTGTATCTCGAGCCGGTTTCTCAAACTGACCTACCCCACCTTTAAAGCAGGGAGACATGGACTTGTGTAATAATAGTTATTTAAAAAAATATGCAAACAAGTCAAAGAAAACAAAATGAACATTATAAAATATCATCATTTTGTTATAATTTAGTCCCGATATTTCAATGTCAGTAAATTCACTCTAGCCGGTTGTCTTTAGGAAGAGGTTGGAGGGGGGGGGGGCTTCACATGCAGGCTGCTGAGGGCCTGATATCAGTGTCAGAACAGAAACGTTAGTTTAAACTGAGACTCCTCTCAATCACAATGTTATTCCTGCCTACTTGAAAGCGAACAAAGAAAATAATTGCGTTAGCTCGACCGTGCGGAGACAAGCCGACTCATTCCTGCTCTTCATTAATCACAGTATCAGTTTACCGCACTGAGGGACGCCGTCCGCAGAATAAATACAATCTGACAGATGAAGAATCCATTAACAAACATTATTTTCCATTGAATCAATTTCCTGTCTTCTCAAATATTTGAAGTTCAACCAAACAAACATCTCCATCCCATAAATCAAGCCTCTTAAATACTTATTTTATCAGGGTGTCAAATGTAATATATATGTATATACAGTATAACATGTATTATGAATGTTTTTCTTAGATAACCATTCGCCCACTTTGTATATATCTGTTTTTAACAGGATGTATGTTTCTGTTGATTTGTGTCAAAAAGATATATTTATATGAAATATCCTGACATGAGATCTGAAACCTGGAAAATGTAACTCTAAGACTGTAAGAGTTTATTTAGCTAACATGATTACAGCAAACACATGCCATGACTTAAACAACAAACAGGGTTCTTTGTTTACTAATCAAATTACCTAATTTCTGTAAATAGCCATACCTGCTCTCATAATGTACTTTTGTTTAAGTAAATGGTTTTAACATGGTAAAGTGAACCAAGAAAAAACGGACAAAAGTGTATTTAGTCCATGTGAGCAGGTTTTTTTCTACATGTAGAGCTTTATCATTAATATTACTATTATCAATATTATTATTATTATTATGATCAGAATCAGAAACAGGTTTATTGCCAAGTAGGTTAACACATACGAAGAATAATTAAACAAGATACAATATGTGTAGTATTGTTATAGAAAATGGATGAGAGGTAGCTTAGGTACAAATGTGCAAATATTTGGAGGGTTGTATATTATTATATTAATATCATTATCATTATTATATATTTAGATCAATCAATTCATAAAGAAAATAATCCAAAGGTTAATCAATAAGGGAGAGAATCTCTGTCCCTGTAACGAACTGTAAGGAAGTGTCGTGATGACTCTTTATAACGAGCAGACAAACACCATTCTTAACAAATTAACGCTTGTGTTTCTGTTTTTGAACACACCCCAAACTCTTGAAATGCGCTCTGAATAAAAACATATGCACACCGTTTCAACATGTGTTCTGTGTCCAAACACCTCTCCCTGTTCACTGTAAACTCGCTGCCTGCCAGGCTCAGAAATCAGAGGAGAATCGGAGAAAAAGGAGAAAAGCGAGGCGTGTGGTGCAGTGGGTTAGTGCGTAGGTGTTCGGATCAGGGGGGTCACAGGTTCAAACCCCACTGCAGTCAGCATGTCGTTGTGTCCCTGAAGACACTTCACCCCAGATTGCTCCTGTGGGGATTGTCCACAGTATTGAGTATGTAAGTATGGGAGGCTGTGGCTCAGTGGAGAGTGTGCTGGACTTCGAATCAGGGGGTAGCAAGTTCAAACCCCACTGCAGTCAGCATGTCGTTGTGTCCCTGAAGACACTTCACCCCAAATTGCTCCTGTGGGGATTGTCCACAATACTGAATGTACGTAAGTCGCTTTGGATAAAAGCGTCTAACAAATAACATGTCATGTAAAAAAGCATATTTCTCATTTGATACAATTTCAAGTTCCTCAGTGTCAAAGTGAGTGGCCACAAGATGGACGCTGTCCCTGAGCTTTATGTACACACTCTGGGCCGAAACACACACTCCTCCTGTGGCAGTTTGTTGGTGGGAAAACATGAGGAAGAATTACGACAGAAGGTGTGTGTGTGTGTACGTGCGGGAGGAAACACCGTACCAGCTGTCTGCGGTTTTCCTCCAGACAAAGTCCCAGAAGCCCCAGGAACGATCCAAGAGTCAGCTGAAAAGAACATAAAAACATGAGCACAGTTAGCGCAAGATAAATAAAGTTCATTTGAGTAACTGTGACACTTTGTTATGATTCGGTTCTCGTCCAAGAAAAGGACTCAGCATGATTTTAGCACTTAACAGCTATAAAAATGTCTCTTGTGGAAGCATTTTAAAAAGCATAAATAATGTTTTATGTTGCATACTGTTGCCTAAAGATGTAGAACAAATGACCCAGTAAAAACTCCCCTCTTCTGTAGAAACTGATTCTGATTTGATTTAGAAGACTTCCAGTGAACCAATGATGTCTTTGCAGTTTTTAAATAAAACAACCGTGAATGTGAGCCACAAAAGAGAGTGTGGATGTTTCACTGGTTTTTGTTTCAGTGAAGCAAAACATTTATCTGGCGAGACGAAAGCTTTGCAGCTGAAAACACTGCTGCTATTTTGCTCCCATAACATGAATCCTTTCACACAGAAATGATCCAGAGTACAGATTAATATTTGTACCTTTGTCTGTTTGCAACTATACACTTCACTTTTTCTGTTTTATATTATAATAAACTGAGTTTTGGACTGGACAAAAACATATTTTAGGACTTGGATGTTCTTCTATTTAATATTTTCAGACATTTTATAGACCATTGATCAATGAAGGAAGTAATCAGCAGGTTCATCCAGAATGTTCAGGTGTATATCAGTATGTAGTGTCTCTACTTTAAAGAGTCCTCTCCTGCTGATGTTCAGGTGTATATCAGTATGTAGTGTCTCTACTTTAAAGAGTCCTCTCCAGCTGATGTTCAGGTGTATATCAGTATGTAGTGTCTCTACTTTAAAGAGTCCTCTCCTGCTGATGTTCAGGTGTATGTCAGTATGTAGTGTCTCTACTTTAAAGAGTCCTCTCCTGCTGATGTTCAGGTGTATATCAGTATGTAGTGTCTCTACTTTAAAGAGTCCTCTCCTGCTGATGTTCAGGTGTATATCAGTATGTAGTGTCTCTACTTTAAAGAGTCCTCTCCTGCTGATGTTCAGGTGTATATCAGTATGTAGTGTCTCTACTTTAAAGAGTCCTCTCCTGCTGATGTTCAGGTGTATGTCAGTATGTAGTGGTCTCTACTTTAAAGAGTCCTCTCCTGCTGATGTTCAGGTGTATATCAGTATGTAGTGTCTCTACTTTAAAGAGTCCTCTCCTGCTGATGTTCAGGTGTATATCAGTGTGTAGTGTCTCTACTTTAAAGAGTCCTCTCCTGCTGATGTTCAGGTGTATATCAGTATGTAGTGGTCTCTACTTTAAAGAGTCCTCTCCTGCTGATGTTCAGGTGTATATCAGTATGTAGTGTCTCTACTTTAAAGAGTCCTCTCCTGCTGATGTTCAGGTGTATATCAGTATGTAGTGTCTCTACTTTAAAGAGTCCTCTCCTGCTGATGTTCAGGTTCATATCAGTATGTAGTGTCTCTACTTTAAAGAGTCCTCTCCTGCTGATGTTCAGGTGTATATCAGTATGTAGTGTCTCTACTTTAAAGAGTCCTCTCCTGCTGATGTTCAGGTGTATATCAGTATGTAGTGTCTCTACTTTAAAGAGTCCTCTCCTGCTGATGTTCAGGTTCATATCAGTATGTAGTGTCTCTACTTTAAAGAGTCCTCTCCTGCTGATGTTCAGGTGTATATCAGTATGTAGTGTCTCTACTTTAAAGAGTCCTCTCCTGCTGATATTCAGGTGTATATCAGTATGTAGTGTCTCTACTTTAAAGAGTCCTCTCCTGCTGATGTTCAGGTGTATATCAGTATGTAGTGTCTCTACTTTAAAGAGTCCTCTCCTGCTGATGTTCAGGTGTATATCAGTATGTAGTGTCTCTACTTTAAAGAGTCCTCTCCTGCTGATGTTCAGGTGTATATCAGTATGTAGTGTCTCTACTTTAAAGAGTCCTCTCCTGCTGATGTTCAGGTGTATATCAGTATGTAGTGTCTCTACTTTAAAGAGTCCTCTCCTGCTGATGTTCAGGTTCATATCAGTATGTAGTGTCTCTACTTTAAAGAGTCCTCTCCTGCTGATGTTCAGGTGGATATCAGTATGTAGTGTCTCTACTTTAAAGAGTCCTCTCCTGCTGATGTTCAGGTGTATATCAGTATGTAGTGTCTCTACTGTGACATGTGTCCATGCTTTAATGTTCAAAAAGCTCTTTATTTTTCTCATATTGCCTGTGCTGCAGCACCTCTTTTCACCCTCTGTCTGAAACCAGAGCCCAGTCTGCTCTGATTGGTTAGCTGGCCGGCTCTGTTGTGATTGGTCAACAGCTTAGAGATGTCACGCCCCTTAGTCTATCACGTACAATGTGTTGGAGTGCTAGCCAATAGAAACATGAGTGTTACATGTCACTATATTACGGATTAAACAAAGGAGGTGTTTCAGGCGTGTGTGAGAGAAAACTCCCTCTGGAAGGAAGGGAACTCAGGGATTTTAGCCCCTGCAGACCATTAACATGCACACAAAGACAAACCTATATAACACACTACAGGAAGCAGAATAAGGCGTCTTTAACGTCGATCGATGACTCCGGAGATGTAGCCCGCTCAGTTCAGGCTCTCTGATTGGTCGTGGTATAAACTCCAGCAGCACCAGCAGCAGGGGAACAGACTGAGCATGCTCAACAAACCAACCAGAGCCCCCGCCTCACCCGCAACTCCATCTCTGGATGAGAGAGAGAGAGAGAGAGAGAGAGAGAGAGAGAGAGGATTCGGAGAACTGGAGAGACGATGAGAGAGAGGAGCTGAGAGAGACAGAGAGACGAGAGGACGAGAGAGAGAGAGAGAGAGAGACGAGAGGAGGAGAGACGAGAACTGAAGCTGAGAGCGAATGAGCCCGAGAGAGAAGAGTGAGGTAGAGAGAGAGAGAGAGGAGAGAGGGGATGAGAAGAGATGAGAGAGAAACATGAGACTGTGCACTGACAGAGCTGGAAAAGTACTGAGTTTAAACTGGTGTAAAAGTAGCTATAATACATTGTAAAAATACTTAGTGAGCATTAAAAGTGTTTTTTACTTACATTTTGATACTAATACTTTTATACTTTAACAATTTTGAATGCAGGACTTGTAACAAATTCATTTTCACAGTTGTATTATTCATTGTACTTATGTTAATTATGTAAGCACTTCTTCCATCACGGTTTATTTCCTTTAATTAAAATGCCTTATCATTGCACTTTTAGCTGCAACCATTATTTTTTTAATTGCCTCTTTGTTTTAAAATGTGCTGTACAAATAAACTAACCTTGAACCTTGAAGACTATTTAAAGTATGATGCATTGTTGGAGGAGATGTTTTGAAAATTCCTTCCTGCAGTTTAATGTCAAGGTCGACAAAATAACCTAATTTGCCTTGATGTAATGTAATGTAATTTAATTTAACTTAATCTAATTTAAAAAAAACAATGACCCGAACCCTATGTCTCCATGTCTACATTCTTCAAATGTCATCACCGTTTACATTGCATTATTTCTAATGTAACTGACACACCATGACTTTCAACCTTCAGGTTATTAAATGAAATAAATAACTGTATTAGTAAGAAAATAATCAATCAATCAATCAATGTTTATTTATATAGCCCAATATCACAAATGTTACATTTGTCTCAGTGGACTTCACAGTTTGTACAGAATATCAGTATGACAATACGACAACCTCTGTCCTTAGACCCTCACATCGTACAAGGAAAAACTTCCAAAAAAATAAATAATAGATCAGACATGTCCTACGGATGAATACAAAGCAAATATCCTGATACCATTGATGGTCTTTACTAAGATACAACTTCATGTAGACTGCAGGGAGACATGCAATTCACAAGCGTCCTGGAAGTATGTATATAGAAGAGATATATACATTTATGCATCAATAATAATGAAATAATATACAATACATTATTCTAAAATTTACCATTTTGCATAAAAAGTACTGATACAACTATATTTTGATGATGGCACGTTAGTTCTTTTGACTTTAGTAAAGTTTTGAATGCAGGACTTGATTCTTCACTGGTGTTACTACTTTACCTAAAAAAGGGAGTACTTCCTCCACTGCAAATTGGTAATAAAAAGGTTAAAGGTGGGGTAGGTAATTCACTTCACTTGTTGTTATATTCCATGGAATGCTCTTAACATCCCGATAGCAATGAATACATTAAATGCTTTGACAATAAATACATACAAAAATGTCACCTGTGGAAGCCGTGGCGCTGTAAAAAGCACGACCAATTATCTGCCTCGGCCCGGGTCAAATAACTGGATGGCCTACCTGCCTGTCAGCCTTCCATCTCGTGTACAAACTTATCTCGTGCCCTCATTGGTCATGTGTCATTTTTTCAGCTGCGTACTTTCAAATTCTAGCGCACTCGAGCTGGTTTCTCCATTCTTACCTACCCTACCTTTAAGATATATATTCTGTGATGGGATTTACATGTAGTGAAGTACATTTACTAAAGTACTGTTTTACTGCTTGAGTTACTTTTCAGATTAAGATTCTGCATAGAAACATGTGATAAACCTTTAACATAATGCAATAAAGATTAAACTAATATAGAACAACTGTTTGAGGTACTAACAAAGTTAACTTATCAAATATATTACAAACAAATCTTTAAAAGTGAATACTTTGTGAAACAATATGTCTGTCTACATCAGTAAAATGCTACTCTATGTATACTATTGTTATTTATATAATAATACATCACAATTAATATTGAGGCCGTTTTCTGCAGAATGGGAACTTTTACTTTTGATACTTAAAGTACATTTTGATGACAATACTTCTGCACTATTACTAAAACGTACTTTAACTTAACGGAGTGTTTTGTACTTTTACTTGAGTGAAGGATCTGAATACTTCCTCCAACACTGAGTAAGACAAACTCAGTGGTTGAATGCAACTAAGTATTTACATTCAACTGTACATTTAAGAGCAAAGTTAAGATACTTTTACTTTACTTTTATTATTTTTACATACACTTTATACTTCAACTTCACAATTCAAATATAAATATTGTTCTTTTATCCTATTTTTTACAGCTTTAATTACTGCACAGCAAAATCCGGAGTGTTAATTTAACACTCTGAGATAAGGACCATATGTTCACTGGCAGTGTTAAAATTGACTCTTTAAGTGTTAAATTAACACTTAAAGGGAGGGATTTAAGTGTTAAATGAATCCTTAAGTGTTACATGAACACTTAAAGAGTCAATTTTAACACTGAGAGCCAGTGAACATATGGTCCTTATCTCAGAGTGTTAAATTAACACTCCGGATTTTGTGTGGTGACTTAAAAAGACACAAGTTTATAAAATATGTTTTTCTCTTGTCTTAATATGTTCTCTTTTATATAAACTATATGTTGATGAAGGAAAACCAAGAAAAATACAGTAGGCAAAAGTACGAGTATATTTGAATAAGTTGCTGAAACTTAAATGAATACAATTTAAAAATATATATATATATTGTTATAAATTAAACTTGCATCAAATACAAAGCTTATTCAAGAACACCTAAATCCATTAGCAGTTTGATGGATAAATAAATGGCATAACATCCATATATTTTACATGTTAGTAACTTTCTAACATACTTAGATTTGTTGTGAGTTCTTTGAGTAGTTACTTACTTTTCTTTTTGGATGTCTGAATTTTTTACATTTGGTATTTTCATGTTTAATACTTTAGAAACATTTTACTGACTATACCTACTGACTTTTACTTGAGTAACCATTCCAATGCAGGACTTTAACTTGCAACAGAGTCTTTTTACAGTGTGGTATTAGTACTTTTATCGTCCACTATTGAGAAAGACATATTCTATTCTGCAGCTTCCCCTGTCTCGTGCACCTGACCGCATCACCACTACCTCCTCCTCCTCCTCCTCCTCCGCGCGGTGTTACCTGTTTTTCGGCTCTTCGGCTCTACTTTCTCCCGGCCCGGTGCTGCCTGGGTCCTGGCCGTCATCATGGGTCCTCTTCAGTCCGGGTCCACTTCACACTCAAACACACTCACACACTCTCACACACTCTTCCTCTCTCACACAACTTTATGATCCCTCCTGAGGATGTGGGAGTACTTCACTGCAGCTCTGTACATCCAAGGTCTCTGATGCATTCAAGGACAGTGGGAAACGTGAATGACTGAAATATTCCTTAAATTCAGGATGTGCAACAACATGTGTTTCATTTGACACTGATTTTAAACAGTGTTTGACAGTAAATAACTCTAGATACCACAGTGTTATTATTAAGTATAGTTCTGAGGTACTTTACTTGAGTATTTCCATTTCCTTCTATTGTTTACTAGATTTAGATTTAGACTCATATTAGTGATACAACATATAACCAACCAACTAATAGTTTATTAAGTATAGGACAATATAAACTTTATTTTTCCCTTGGTGAAATTTACAAATGAACTAGGTTTGAATTACATCTTTAAAACCTGCTCCAACAACATGATACAACATAAATAATGACATGTATTTAATGGAACCTC